ATTGCATTTGTTTGTGATACAGTATCTGTCCAGATATAGAAGTGTCCTTTCCACTCGTGGATGCATTAGCAAACCATTCTACACCAAATATAAAAAATCATTTTTGATTTTTTGACAGATCAGGCAGTGTAATGGTTCTCGCCTTTCTTTGCGGTGAAAGTCTATTCAGTGGGGTATGTTCACAAACCATTTATTTAACTGCCAGTTATTCTGGATGGTCCTTTGAATAGGAAAGCATGTTGTGAGCTTATTGATCCGTGAAAGCTGCAACAGAAGACTGCAAGAGAATGACTTGATCCAAGGGAGACCAGTACTGGAACATGTCCATTTACCAATAGAAAGCAATAAAAAGTTACTTTAAATCCATTTTAAGCTTCCTGCAAAAATAAGAATTTACCTGAATGACTCAGAACCTGCACAGAAATGGTCTTAAAGTGCTCTGCAGTGCTGTAATTTTGTTCCTAGTATTTGTTTTGTTCTACTTTGAATCTTTCTTTTTTCTTTGCCCTGCTAATGCTGTCAGGGCCTGGTTTGGTTGCTAATTGCACAGCTCTGATGTGGTTAATGCGAAGGGCCTGCGTGGTGCTGCAGGCAGTATGGTGGGTTGATGAGTGATGTGCGTCTGTGCGACAACAGCTCAGCAGGAATCGCTGCTCCGACATCTGTGGGAACAGTGTCGCACGGACGATAATTGTCTGCAACTTTGTTCGAAGGGTTACTGTATGAAGAGTGGAATCTTCAGAGGAATGGAGGAAGACAGCCTGCCTGCAAAACTCTCGCTGTGAGGAGCGAATGCTTAGAGCCCCATAATTATTTTTATTTGGCAGTCCGGCTGTTTTTTTTTTCTAAATTGCAGAACAGGTCAGAGTGCCTTAGTTAACCTGTTTCTCTGTCAAAGTTTCTTTTTCATTCCCATTTACTGGGTAAAATAATGGCTGCTAGTGTGGTACTTCCTATAGGCTCTAGGTGGCCTTTAGTTGCCTGAATTGCTGGATACTGGTTTTGCCAGTACCCCCAATGTTTAGGTCCCTAGGGAGAATGGTGTTGAATAGTATTCGTACATGCAGCTTTGCCATGCATCTAATGTTCTGTTCTAAAAACTGACATTAATTGTCATGAACTCTTGACTGCTCTGGATGGTTAGACTGCCATTTTCTACCTGAGATATGTTATTTTTTGGGAAAACTTACGCAAACAGGATCTCTCTCAAGAGTTTGACTTTTATCAAGCCATTTCCAAGCAGTGTTGAAGCTGTATACAGTTTCATTATTGATTTTATTAAAAGTATCTGTTACTAGAGTATGAATAACAAAGTCCTGTCAAGTGTTTTAACTCCAAACCTTGCTGAAGTCAGGTGGTTTCTACACCGATTGAACCTGACTAACTTCCCCATCAATTTCATTAATAAATGAAATTTGAAAGGAGTTTGATTGGCAGCCAGTTCTCAAGCGTTGTTTGTGCAGGTCCCTGTGCTGTGAAGGTAACCCCACTAACAATATGTGCTGCCAATATGCGCTGTCATCTAATTTCTCATGCAAAAACAGTTGATTTTGAAAGTCAAAGCATGAGGGTATGCCTTTACCAATTTCAGTTCTTCCATTCTTTAAAACCACAGTCTTTTAGTGGTGTGGTTCAATTAGTGGTTTTCCTTGGCTTAAAAGTTGATGCAGTTTCTTTCCCGAATTGCTTGAAGCCCAAAGCCCTGGAATATCAGTATCTTTGGCTTTCTGCACATCCACCACCCTAAAGACAGGCCAGATCCCTGCATCCTTATTCCCAGAGCATCCGTTCTGTTTCAGTCCTTACTAGCTTTCCTGTTGGCCTTTGGGGATGTGGGTATAAAAAAATACACTTGGGATCTTACAAGTACTGTATACGTTTGCAAAAAGTATGAGCGGTCCTCATATCCTCAGTGAGCAGAAAAAAGCAATTGACTAAATTTCGCATGAGCACTATAAGTTGACATGCATATTGTAAGAACAAATAGAAGAGGAGGTTTTAATTGTTTGTGTGAAAATGAATTCAAGAGTTTGCTCACTTGGGTTCGCTTCTAAGAAAGGGAGAGGTCAGATTAATCAAATGCCCCAAATTCAGTTAATTCAGATTTCTCTTTTTTAAACAAAAACCTTTGAATTTCAAAAGTTAAAACCCTAACATCGTTCAGATTAAGAATTCCACATCCCCAATAAATAGTCATGCTTTAGAAGAGCCTGTTGAATACAGCCCCTCTCCACCCCTCTCTGGGTTGGTGTGCTTCATCAGGTGGCTGGTGTGTGTACTCTGTTGCACACTCGCACTGGCCACTATCTCCAAGGTCCTGGCAGGAGCCAGAGTCCGATTCAGTTACTTTCAGCACATCGTCATGTCTGTATATTTGACAAACCCTCCTTCTGTTTTTGTGTTTGTTCAGGTGCTGTGAAGTAACCCCACTAGCAATATGCACTGCCAATATGAAGTTTCAAATCTGCGGTTCTTTGTACTATCACTTAAGTTTTAAGACAACCTGTGTTCCTGTAAAAAGATTGTTTACTTGTAGGTTACATACGGCTTACACTTGTGACACTTACATTGTATGGGTTTTTTCTTTCGCTTACATAATCTTTCATAATGCTTTTCTAATAAGACACTACTAAAAGTGGTAAATGACTAGTTTTGAGTTCCTAATCCAAATGCAGATACTGGCTCTCTATGGCCTTTAAAATATTGGGCATAAAGTTAATAGAAACTGTTAGAATAAATGAAAGTATAATGCTGCTGTTGGATATGTAATGTTTTTGCATTTGTTTTCCAAATGGACGTGAACTAGTTTAATAAATTAATCTTTTTTGCAGAATTAGACTGTTCAGCAGTTTTTTTTCCTCTTTACAAAAAGTAGATTAGACTGTTACAGTGTGCTGAGCATTAACTAGGTCTACAGTATCTATTGTACTCTGATAATCTGCTTGTAATGTACACGTCTTTTACATGTTTAGTAAGAGGATAGATATACAGAGCGGGCTGTGTAGCTTCCACAGTAAATTTAATCCTCACTGTTAGTGTTTTCTGAATAGCTGTTTTGTTATTTTCATGCTAGACTCTTCAGAATGTGAATCCTCCTGTTAAATTATGTTAAATTATTCCCTGATTGGTATGATGATAATCATGAATAAATCTGGTCAGTCATAAATGAGCTCATGTTTGAGAATTGCCCAAGGGATGCGGAATTGTTCATTATGTACCACATTTGTTGTAACAATAGAGGTTTCAGCTCTGGAAATAATGTTCCCTTGCAGTTAATTTGACCCTTGTCGTAACTGATGTAGCTACACAAGGGTCACAGAGACAGCCGAGTTGGCAGTACTGAAAGCTTTTATTTTATCCAGTTTAACCAATACTAAAGTAGAGTTTTTCATAAAGAGAGCTTATTAATAACTTGCTGGGCAGAAACTGTTCTAAATATTTATTTACGATTTTTTTAAAAACAAATTAAATAAGTTAAATTGCATAAGTTATTTTGTGAATTAACCAGCTTCATGATTCTGTAGATGTACGTAAACAGATGATCAAGAGATCATAAAATGAACTACAATTGCTTTGATTTTTATCCCAATGAGGAGTTATTCTCACAGTCAGAAGTAGAGTAGCTGAGTGTGGGTATCCGAAGTGGAAATTAAAGCGAGGTGTTGCTGGTGTCTGGTCATGCAGTGCAAGGCTGGCCACAGAGAGAATTGTGTATGGGTTGTTGTGCATAGCAGCACTGTTTCTGAATGGGTTTGTTTCCATGGGAACAGAAGAGAGGTTCCTCTTTTCCCAAGGAAACCTGCAGATTCAAGCACAGCATCGTCTGACTAGGCCAACCTTTACAGTACCAGCCTTTACAGAGTATGAACAGGTCTAACAAAGGGAAAAAAAATCAAGAGACATTCAAGAGATATTTTGTGGGGCCAAATGGGGGGGGTTAAGGAATTGAAACCCAGTTAAGGTCTGCAGCCACCGTTTAAGGCTGCTTTAGCATGTTGTGCTGTGCAGCACTAGTGGAGTTGATACTGCTTATCTGCTCGAACCAAAGCAGTTTGTTCTCCTGAGCAGAGAAATGGAAAATGGAAAAGGCTTGTGTTCTGGTCAAAAGTAGTTTATCTGTCTGGTAAATGGGGAGAAAAGGTGGGGTAGAGCAGTGCCATAAATGTTAAATTACAATATACCAAAATAGTCTGCTTGTTAAATTTGATCACTTTGAATGACACTTACAACCTATTTACATACTGCTACCGCAACTAGTGTGAAAACTATGGCTCTGTCTCATTAAAATGGTCATTTTGGTTAAGTAGTAGTAGCCTTGGGTTCAGAGAACAGAGTGGGGTATGAATTGATTGCGATGTACTGTATGCTGTTTTCTTATATTCTATAATAGCATAATAACATTAAGAGGGCAAATTTCATGGACATGCCTTAGGTGTTTTTAGAGGCCTGATTCTGCTCATTACAATATGCTGATATTGGCGTAGTGATTCTTTACATGTCTGTAAGGTGTACCCCTCTGGGTCTTGGACTCAGAGGTCTTGAAGATTCAGTGACAGTGCTTTTGAGCTCCACTGGAATGAGCTTTTCCTCCTTTCCCCCCCCCCACCAGGAACACCAGCGCACATCTGGGTAGCCTCCTGGTGTTCTATTTTTCTTCTCACGAGCCACATTGCAGGCTTCTATTTTCAGCTTTGACTTCTCTGCATTCATTTCACGGTTCAATTGAAATATAAAGGTCTGAAGAACTGCCTGCTTAGCATTGTATGGAATTGCTTAGCCTCCTTTTCAAATGGGCATTGACACTTAAAAAGTAAAATCATACCTGTATTTATTGGCCAGGACCTGCAAGATTCTTTAGTGCATTAGGCGAGGTTGGTGGAGGTTAAAACGCCACATATGGTGATTCCAAAACCCAGTTACTTCATCCCAGTGGTAATACTTGTCTTTAAGAAGTCCAAATCACTCTTACCACCAGAATCTGTTTTCTTGATTTTTCTCAGGTGTAAACGTTGGGAGTTTTCCACACCCCACCTGGCAAGATGGTGGCCTTGTCCTTGAAGATCTGTGTGCGCCAGTGCAATGTGGTGAAGACTATGCAGTTTGAGCCCTCCACAGCGGTGTATGATGCCTGTCGGATAATTAGAGAGAGGGTACCTGAAGCTCAGACTGGGCAAGGTAAGGTGTTGATTTCATGTAGCACTGTTGTATCTCCTTCGGCTGGGATTTGTCTTCATGTCCTGGGTAGGAGTGAATTCACCTTGTGGTGATGCTTCTGCCTAACCCATGAATAGACTCATAATAATAATTAATAATAATTGCTTACACTTATACAGTGCTTTTCTGGACACTCCACTCAGAGCACTTTACATGTAATTGGGACTCCCCTCCACCACCACCAGTGTGCAGCCCCACCTGGATGATGCGACAGCAGCCATAGTGCGCCAGAACACTCCCCACACATCAGCTATCAGTGTTGAGGAGAACAGAGTGATGAAGCCCATTCATAAATGCGGCTTTTCTCATAAACTACTACATTTCATTATCGATGCAGATATTTTGATTTATGTTCCAAATAAATTTGGAATGCAAATAAAAATGTCTGCACAGATGACTGCAAAATGATCTTAAATTGCTGTACTGTATGTGTGCATTCTCATGTAATCTCTCGGTCGTACTTGTATATTGCCCCTCACCACTGTTCCTCAGTTGGTTTGTGCTGCATAATTATGTACTTGTTTTGCCAGTGGCTGATTGTACAGATTGTGGAACAAATAAAGATGTTATGCAAGGACTGCTTATTTCTCAATAACATTCCGGATATTTTCTCAGCAGTGGCTGTATCTTTAGGTTACCTGCAGGACGAGAATTTTCATTTTTTGCTTCATCTTGAGAGAACAGGAGTTGTATTAAAGTTTGGAGCTTACAAACCAACTCTTCAGACTTTTGTCGGTAAAATGTATTAAAGTTAGGTGTTTGGTGCAGTGTTCAGATTAATGTTATAATCTACAACTTTCGAAAACGTTGCATTTTTTTTTAAGTGCTGAGTGTAAAGCTCTAATTTGGGCTGACTGCCTGCTTTACACAATTATTAAGCACTTAATCAGATTTTTTAGCATTTACTTACAAATGAAGAAACAGCTGCTTTACTAGTACAAAATTAAATATCCGTTTAGCATAAATCTTTTTAGAAATCTGGACAACTTATGTAATATGGAGGAAGTAATTGGAATGCTTTGCTAAACCCAAGAAAAATACATTTGTTATGTTTTGTTAACTGAATAGATTGTCTGCAATTGATAAATACAAATGTCATTTAATGTTTACAAGGAATGTCTCCGCTGAGATATTATGGATTTAGTTTTCATAGATGAGTTCTAGGACACTGACAGTTTGTCTACATTGCTTGATGAGATTGAAAATCGAGTCTGCAAAGGAACCTTCTCAGTAACTGATCCAGCTAAGAACAGAAGTGACAGGTCAATATTTTATTTAAACCGGTGTACCTGACTTATAAGAAAAGCATCACGAGAGAGGGATTTAACAGAGAAGTTATTTTTTTCTTTATACTATCTCCACTGTAGAAACAGTTGTAAATGCCAGTCTTTTAACAGTTTTGGCCATAGTATCATTTCCCTGGTAAATGTATATAAACGTATAATGCATTTTTAAAAATATTGTGCTGGATATGAAGTACAGGAGTCACTAGGACTCTACTTTTAACTAAGAATGTCAGCTGAGCTGTCACCTTACAAGATGGATGGATAGGTTTAGTCATTTCAGCCCTTGTTTTAAGTGACATTTTAAACAAATGTAAATACTATAATATAAATACATAACACTGTTGCACCCCTTTCTCTATCTTTCAGCTAAATCCAGATTTGTGTTACTTTCATGGACTCACAAAGCCTGAATATCGTCATAGTTTGGAGAACTGGGATTTGCTTTTCAAAAGCGAATGAATGAAAATGTGTGTGGTCGAGCCAGGCGGATACCGATGGCGCTGGGTTGTTGCACGTGGTGATTTTTACTTGGGCTCCCTGCTTCATTCCATTCTAGCTTCTGATTACGGGCTGTTCCTTTCGGATGAAGACCCCAGGAAAGGGATTTGGCTGGAGTCTGGCAGGACTCTGGATTACTACATGCTACGGAATGGGGTAAAGAAGGAGTTGGCAATGTCATATCTGTTGTATGCAAACCCACTTCCTGGCCTACTGACCACACATAGGAGTGAAAGTGAAATCCTAGAGCTAACACAGCAGTACAGATGAGGAAAAGGGAATTGGGAAGCGATATGAAAGGATTATGAATAGTACTTGAACATTTCTTTATACCTTTGTGTGCTTTCCGCCCATAAGCTTAATTGAAGTTTATCGTCAAAGAGCTATGTATTTAAAGGTGCTACTAGTTTTGAGCTGTAGCCTTGGTGAGGATTCCTTTCAACAAATTCATATTCTGGACATAATAGATGATCCAGTTCACTTTTGCTTTTTAAGTCGTTATGAGATGAGCAAAAGAGCATTTGAAATGAATAGTAGGGGGTTGGAGTGAAGGGGGAATTGTGGAGAGCTGTTGTATGTACGTAGAGCTTACCAATTTAAAATGACTCTGGAGATAAGGCTAGCGTGTAATTTGATTATTACTTTTTTGATGGTCAATTCAGGACATTCTGGAGTACAAGAAGAAACAGAGGCCTCAGAAGATCAAGATGCTTGATGGTGCAGTAAAAACTATCATGGTGGACGATTCTAAAACTGTGGGAGAGCTACTGGTCACCATATGCAGCAGAATAGGTTTGTTCAGTTCTCTTAATTCCCTGCAGTCAGTATAACTAAAAAATTAAACGCATACTCACTGGATTATTTATCCATTAATTCTGTTTCCTTCAGTTATTTTTGTTAAAGATATGAGGTATACTAGCTAGACTGAGCTGGCCATTTCACAGATGTGCAGTAATAAAAATATCAGAAACCATTCTTTACCAGATTCTGGACCTTTATAATTCAGTTTTTGTTTTTCTTTCCCCATTGGTAAAGTGTTGTCTCACTGAAATAAGGGTGAAGAGAATTGTGAAAACAACATTATAGGAGTTTGTATACAAGCTTTTGTGTTAACAAATCTGTTGGTTCTCCTCGCTTGATTTCTCACTTAAGCTTACTGGCTGCCCTCCAATTCGCTATATTGATTTCCTTGAACAGAAGATGTATCTGGTTTCACACTGCTGGAGACCAACCACTCCATCTCCGAGCTCTTAAATCTTCTCTTTTAGGCATCACAAACTATGAGGAATACTCCTTGATCCAGGAGGTGGTGGAGGAGAAGAAGGAAGATGGGACGGGAACACTCAAGAAGGACAGGACTCTCTTGCGTGATGAGAGGAAAATGGAGAAATTGAAAGCTAAGCTTCACACAGACGACGACTGTAAGTATTGTGAATGCTGCGTGAAAAAGTCCTGCTACATTAACGTGTTTTTTAGAGATATCTTCACCAGTTTTTCAGTTTGTGTTTTACCTTTTCATTTGGTGATCATGGGTGCTGTTTATGAGTGGAGAGCTAAGCAGGATAAAATATCCCCAGAAAGTGGAGATGTTATTTGGTCTGGTAAATTACTACATATCACAAACGTTTGCTACATATTTATTGTGCACAATCTATTTATTGTCCCTGTTATTATTTATTATGTTTTTTTAATATACTGTCTGCATTGTGTGGTGTTGTCTGTTGTACTGTGTATACCCTGAGAGATCAGCTCATTTAAGAATTCCAATATACATCTGGAACAATGTACTTCAGTGCATAAGGAACAAGCTACCCAGCCATGTTATTAAATCCCATGCCTAGGCTTCTTTCAAGAAACAGGATGAGATCCTTGCACCAATTATCTACTAACAATTGGTTTAGATGGGCTGAGTGGCCTCATTGCATTTGTAACTTTTCTTATGTTCCTAACGAATGGTTTTCATTGAAGACTTGGACATCATGGACGTCAACCTCCTTTTCAGAAATAAGTTGTCTACGTAATGAGTCAGCTTAACTGATAGTGAAAGCCTAAAACATGAAGATTCTTCTATAGTACAATGTAAATGACTTCCTGAAATAGCAACTGAAACAGATATCACTTCCTATAAATCTTCCTAGTGGTTTGATTAATATTTTTTCAAAGCAATAACTATGAAACAGTAAGAAAAATCTAATTTAAAATCAGTGAAGTTCATTGTAAAACATATATTTGGTTTGACCATGTGTTAACATTTTCTTTCTGGTATATATTTTTTGATTATTGACAGAAAGAGCTTAAAACATTGAGCTTTAAGTAGTCTTTTCCTAACAGGGCTTTTAGTGTTATCTTGTCAGTATTTTCTTTCTTTGTGTTCCCTCAATAAAGTATCCAGTTTCCATCTGGAAGAAGCATATGGTGTTTACTCAGAACAGCCACTGTGCAGATGAAGTCAGAATGAATTAACTAGACACTGACCTTGGACTGAAGTTTTGTCAAATTTGCACCAATGTTTGGGAACAGCATGTAATTTTTTGCCTTCCGTTTTCCTAAGGTCTTGCTAAAGTGGCTAAAATTAGCCATGCTAAACATTGCATTTACACCAGACTCAACCCTTTATCTGTTCTGACTTTTCATTTTTGCTAACAGTTTTGTACTGTATGTAGGGCAGGTGAAACATTCATTGATTGGACAGGTTAACTGTTATCTATTTATAACGGTACAGACACTTCTTGTAAACACAGAACATTTCAAGCAAAGGAGAGCAGTTATCTTGGTTTTTAGATTATATGTCATAGTTAAGATTAAGAGGAGAAGATCAGGGTGGTCCTATTTTAATTTGTGGTTACCGTAAACAAGATACATTAAGCTCCTTTCGGTTTCATTTTTTGTCTGAGATGTAATGCCAAGGTCTTGCTGTAACTAATCCTACAGAATCACTTTTTTATGTTTTAAGGTAATTTCTCCTTAGTCCCTGGCTAAAAGTATCTGGTAAATGACTCTTAAACAATGACTAATTAATTATCTGAATTAGTTAGTAAAAATGTTCAAGAATAGGTTTGGCCCGACTGAAGCACAATAACAGTTAATCAGCCGCTAGAGACGGCCAAAACAGGCCTTGTTTCCTGTAAATAGCCTCACTGGGTGTCCGTTTAATTCAAGTATTGGTTATGGGTGTGGAAATGCATATTTAAATTTGTTCTGTTTGGTATAAAAAGGGCGTGTATGGCTAGTGATGCTTGTTTTTGTAGTTTTCTTTTGTTTTAATGTGAGGCTACCAGTCCTGCTATAAAGCCTCTCGCCATGGAGCTGTGTGTACAGATCCCTTGGGACTGCCCAAGGTAATGTCAAGGTCTGGAACAGTAACAGTATGCCATGGACCTGTCATGCTAAAAATTGTTTATGTACTGTACTTCTTAACCCCAGCAAGCATCTAAAAAAATCCAAACGGCCTTCTTCACCCAAATATTCTTCTTTCATAAAATGTATGCATACAACATTTGACTGTTGTTGAACCGTGCTCTGCCTTGTCCTATCAGTATAAGTGGAGATTAGAAGTGCACCGTTTATCAATGGTGTTAATTATGTAAGTGCCGACTACTGAAAACTGTATAATTAGATGAGTCAAGTGGAGTACATAAGTACCAAACAATTCATTTTTTTTCTTTCATTAACATCTTTATTTGGTGCCTTGGGAAAACACAAGCCAGAATTGTGTCCTTATGAATTAAATTGAGTCATTTAATTGTTTAATCACCCATGTCTAATTTTGTAGGTATTTTGTTTCTTTAGTTTGGTCTTACAGTATTTTATAGCATGACAATGATCATTAATATTTGTTGCTTAGAAACCTTTTCAGAGGAACTGAAAAGTAATCATCAAACAGGAGCAACCCAAATGTGTTGTATTTTTAAAGGTTTGCAAAGTTAATACAGTATTTATACCTTTCGTCAGTACAAAATCAAATTGAGCACAAACTTGTATTCACCATATCATATGGCATTTTACATAGAGTAGTGGATTTCAAAGTGTTTTGTGAAAATCAAGATTCAATACTTTATTGCCATGTCAAAAATGTTAATTGGAATTTGTCTTAGTGCACCTCAAATACAGAAATATTTCTGAGTAGAGCAGTTTGAGTACAATTTAAGTACTAATTTTGTTATTGTACCTTATTATTGAAGATTCACGTTTTAGTTATATATGTTGAACCCCCTTACAGATGTGCTGATATGAATATTTGTCAGATGAAGACCTTCCAGTGACAGTCCTGTGATTTCAGTTCTTGCAGTGTCAAAACGCAAAAATTACTTGCAGAGATCAGAGGATACCCTTCCTAGCACTGTAAATGCAGATCAGTTTCTGCTCTACAGCTTACAAGTACGAGAAGGGAGATTTCACTGGGGCTATAGTAAGCAAAATCATACGTCTGTGGGGAGTTAGTGAAAACCAAAGACAATTCCCTTGTGCTGGTACACTGATGGGGGTATTTTCACTTCTGTTTGCAGTGAACTGGCTGGATCACAGTCGTACCTTCAGGGAACAGGGGGTGGATGAGAATGAAACGCTGCTTCTGAGGCGAAAGTTCTTCTACTCTGACCAGAATGTCGATTCCAGAGACCCTGTGCAGCTCAACTTGCTCTATGTGCAGGTAAAACGTGCTTTTGTGAAAGCCCAAGTTCTGATCAGGGAATCCAAAAGGTTTGTTTTAAATCAGTGTTTATCTGGGATCTCTCTTGCCTTCATGCTTAAAGGAAAGTAGAAGAAGTGGAGCAGAACTGTAAAACCAAACAGTAAATATGGCACAGCTATGAAGAATGGCAGGAAGTGGCCCCATTTAATATCTAATGTGCATATGTATCAGAATTCAGCTTTTATTTTTAGGAAATAATGTGTAAATAAAGCATGAAGTAATTCTGAACTTTTTCCGGTTTTGTTTGAAGCCATTAAAGTAGCAGATTTAAATGAAACATTTTAGTCTAATGAAAGTGTTAAACTGGGTTTTGTGATACTTGTCCCATTGAGCAAGTTGATATCCATCAATCAATGTTTGATTAAAATTTAATTTTTCTGATTGTTGGTCTAATGCATCCTGAACCTTCTCTGTATAATATTTTGTCAACACTTCAATCAATCAAGGTTTATTGATCAATGCACAAACAGTACAGCATACAGCGGTGTTGTTGGCAATGAAATGCTATGTCTGTGAGCTCGTTAAGAGGGATAGAAGAGTAGGAGGACAGGAATTAATAGGGAAAAAAAATTAAAAAGAAAAAAAAATAGGATCCAATAAATGACATGATTGTAATTTACAATACAATTAACAGATTGAACTTCAGTTAAATCATGCAGCTTCAGTCGCAGATCACACTGAAATAGCTAATGCGTTTATGACCATGGACTATTAAACCATTTAATCAAACTGTTAATACACATGAAAATCATCATTACATTACATCACTGTTATAAAGAATTTATCATTTGGACTTGCAAACTGAAAATCTCCTAAATTGAATAAGGAACTTAAACATTTTTCTCAAACTGTTTGGAGAGTTAAAAATCCAGACAATGCACCTAGTGTTTATGACAGAGAGTCTGTACTGTACTTGCTTAGCTGCACTGCCTAGCAGGTCAGACATTTACGGTCTCATGTTAAGAGAGTAATTACAGTGCACAGTGAAGGGAATGCAAAGCCAAGACATCTGCCTGAGCTTCACCGTTGTCTGTTACTGTAGCACGGTTCTTCATTATTGTGCCACACGTAGGTTTTCTAAACCGTTAACATTGGCTTCTATGAGGTCAGCTGAGCAAGCAGTTAGGAGGATTCGCTATCGGTGTTGTCCTTCCAACGGTCCCAAGAGAGGTCTCACCGATTTCTCCACCCTTTGGGTGACAGGCAGGCTTTGCTTGTGGACTGCCGCTAAAGGGGGCTGACCACCAGCTTGACCCCCCAGTACAGCTACTGACCTGCAGTGTCCTTCACCCCATCCCATTAGTGTGCAAGTGTCATTAAAGAGGTTTAACCAAAACAGAAGGAAGGTGATTTGAAAAGTCTGACAGACAGGTCATCTTCCTGTGGTTACATTGTATAGACAAAATGATCGCTATCTCTTCCCTTTGATCTGCGTTGAGTACAGACATGTGCCATGTAGGGAAAGATGAAAGAGCCCGCTGGGTTGGTCCTTCCTAATCCTAGATACCTGCCATACATGTGTTGTCTCCTGTTGTCGTACTGTAAATCGGGGAGGAATCTTGAATTATGATAGCACTCCCATGAAATCCATAGGGAGCCTCTTACAAATTAACTGAAATGTTTATTAATGATCTGCCACTTACATGAATTTGCCCGCCCTAATATTCGAGTGCGGCTCCAAACGAGAATTGTCTCTAAGGGTCTCTGAGAGTGTTCCAGTTCAATTCAAACTAAATTACCTCTGCTGGGAATTTCCGAGTTTTCTGCCCAGCAGCTGCTAATGGCACCGCAGAATCCTACAGTTCATCACGAGGAGCCCAGAACGCTTCCCACCTGCCTTAGAGATCATCCGTACATGGTTTCTGGGAGGGATTCATTATGCCGTAAATGCATTTGCATCTGATTTTCTATTTGAGAATGTTACAGTATATTTCTATCGGCAACAGAACCGTATAGGACAGTGTCCTCATTTCAGAGAGGCTTGAGATTTTTCCTGGCTCTTTAACTCAGCTTTTCTAAAGGTATAGAAGGCTAAACAAAACGGACATGTCTGTATTGCAAAGGTGGCGTCATGCATGTACGTTATGTGTGAGATCTGCCCCCCAGGGAATACTGGCAGGACTTTAACAGTTGTAGTTTTCTTCTCTCTTTACCTCCTTGGCTCTTTCCTCCAGGGATGTGCCATTTCCATTTACTGACTGTTCTCTTTTGTAAATGCTTATCTGAGATGCCAGGGCTGATAATGCCTATTTCAACTAACAGGACCCCCAAAATGTTGGCTGCCTGGTATTTATTCTTAGCAAGTCTGTGTGCATTGCTCATCTATGCACAGAGTCGTAATTCTTTATCGGAAAGACATAAAGCATTACATGAGCAAGTTGGGTTTAGTTTATGAAATATGTAGCTTCAGGCTTTAGCTGCAGCACATACAAATGCCTGTGAACCTGACAGTTTGTGTAATCAAGAAAGAAAAATGGTTTCCGAGCCACAGGTAGAAACAAACCTTTTTTTTTTTTGGTGAACCCTGTCAAATTGTGAAAAATGCAAGTTATGTAACATTATTGAAACACCTTAAAAATGTGTATGATGGGATTGCTGAAGAAAAAAACACAAATAATGTTGATGTTACTTTATGGTTCAGCTATTAGGTATAAAGAGGTAAATACCCACTTGGAAGACCTGTTATAATGGTAATGCAGCTGCTGTTCTTTTCTAGTAAAGAGCCCTAGAAATGGGGCACTTCCTTTAGACTTGTTCCTCGGCTGATCACAGGGGTTGCTGGAACCAACAAGGAGATCACCATGAAAGTGTCGGTCCTTCGTTGTACCTTTTCCCCTCTAATTTCTGATAACATAAATGAGTGAAAAAGTAAACCCACTAATGCAACCAATAGCATGATTGTACTACAGTACATGTGATCATGCTTCACTTTAATAGGACATTGAACAGCCGGAAAGATGTTCACAGCTGAGAAAACCCCCATGCCATTTGATCTTGGTTGCATACTGTGGCATCCTTAGTTACAGATTGGAACATGTTTGCAGCAGTGTTCATACAGTATCTTTCCAAGCATAACCTTCATTCTACTTGACTGATCCTGTGCTATGTGACTTTATAATGTTCAATCATGGTGATACTTGGGAACATTCTCGCATGTGCATTCAAACTGGCAGACTGTATACAAAATAGTCATCTTGAACGGAATTAATCAGAGCTGCATTTAAGATGATGAACAGGAAGAATCTCTTCACACAATGGGCTATATGAGTGTGGAACGTTGTATTGATGTTTCAGGTTCCTCTCAGGAACAGTCATGATCACTGGATCAATGAGCTGCTAACAACCAAATGAATTAGATGGACTAAAAATGTGCCGGTGTTTTGTAACTTTTCTTATGTTCTGACACTTTTATATTCTCATGTGTTACCTTAAAAGTTTAATTTCAGACTTGAAAATGTCTTTTTTCAATCTGCTGTCTTTTAGGCCCGTGATGACATTTTAAATGGCTCTCATCCTGTCTCTTTTGATAAAGCCTGCGAGTTTGGAGGAATTCAGGCTCAGATCCAGTTTGGGCCTCATGTAGAACACAAGCATAAGCCTGGATTTCTAGAGTAAGCCTATATTTATAATAGCCACCGTGCTACATTTAAAACAGAGTACCTTTATATTTTTTTACCTTAAAATTCCCATCAAATCATCACAAAGAACTTCTGGATATTCTAGAGAAATATAATATAGCATTACAAATCATTATTTTATTTGTCTGAACTGACTAACTGTAGGTTTTGCATGTTATCATAATGTTTAGAAGTTGTGAACTTCTTGCTATTCCAACCAAAAATGGGTTAAGCAAATCTGCAAAGACTGAAACAGACAAGAATATAGATCCTGTAGAATGTGTGTAAATAAATTCAGGCTTTGAGTGCTACTTACAGTAGGTAACAGTCAACGCATTTCACCAGTGGTGTCTTTCAAACCTTGTAATTCATAGACCCATAGAAGAATCCAGTAGCTTGTTGGTATTACAGACACAGTGCTGGCTTAAAACAAATTGATATAAAATATTAAACTATTTAAACCCCATCCTTTCACAGATGTTAATGTAGTCCATTTTAATGAGAGGAGAGGTTTTATGTTAGGTTAAAGATAAAGAAAGCACATTTTTAAATTTCTGATTATGGATATATGCTGCTTTTTTTAGCCTAAAGGAGTTTCTGCCTAAAGAGTACATCAAACAGAGGGGAGCAGAAAAGAAAATATTTCAGGTAAATGTCTTAATTTTGTGGAGGTAGCCCAATATTCAGCATGAAACACTAAGTACCTGAATATCCTACTGCAAAATATCTTTCAGCAGTTTTATATGCTTGAATCATTTTTAGTTTAATATGAAGTTTATGGGATTTTTAATACTCACTTCATTTGCTTGTAACATGTAAATATATAATTTGAACAAAAGAGATTTAATTTCATATCTAGTGGCAAAGCCTGTATTCTGAATAATGGTTTGCCCTTTCAGAATGCCGTCTTAGATTTCAAAAGCTACCAAGAGCCAGTGAATTCATTTTGAAGATTGTTCTGATTTAATAAGCAGTGCATCTTCTTTTGTTTTTAATGCACTGTTGCTTAGCGTACATTAGATGGTGAACCGTCAGCTCTAATTAGGGGTATGTTTTAATTTTCATCTTTTTTTACAGTCATTGTTGAAAGAGTTAAAAGTGCCTCTCCTTCTAAACCACAGGAACACAAAAACTGTGGAGAGATGACTGAGATAGAAGCAAAAGTAAAATACGTCAAGCTGGCACGATCTCTGCGGACATATGGAGTATCGTTCTTCCTGGTGAAGGTAAGTGAGAACACAGACTGACGTCTTGTAGCTCTGTGAGGAAGAAACCGGAGGTGCAGGGCTCTGGTTGTGTGTTTTAATCAAGCACAGCATTTGAGTCCTGTGTTCAAGTTTGCTGAAATGCGTTTAATTTGCTCTGAGTACCTTTTTAATGTTCTGGTCTGGAAAAGATCATACCATGCCTGGCATACTGTACACATGGAAGTGTCAGTGAGGAGGGGATGACACAGATTGGAAGTCAGTTTTCAAAAACGTTTGCTTTGTGTGCAGATCTTTGCTGTCTCAACAAGCAAACCTCAGACAGATATGTCAACAACAGATTTTTGTGGAGGTTGGTTATATTTGCTGGCACTAGATTTCAGTCCTTTGCGTGCCTCTTTCAGATCTTCCCAGGTTGGAGTAATAAACCATTATGTAAGGCTCCGAGATATGACAAGAATTTTGACTTGTTTCTAGGTGGGGATGAAAGCCCTTTTTAGAAAATTCAATTCCACCTGAAAAGTGAACTTAAAGCCTACCAGATGTTTCAAAAATGCTCATCTGGCATTCACACTGAAGACAGATAGAAAACATACCTGAGCTGTGTGCCCCACAGTGTTTTTTTTTGCTAGTAATTATACAGTGCCTGAAGGAAAGGCAACTTTCATAATAAAAGAGCAAAACGCTTCACAAAACATTTTATACAAAAAGAAATCTTTTATTTCTCCTCAGCAGAGAGCTCCGGGATTATTTCTTATTCTGTCAGACAGTTTGTGAACAATGGCTCAGTGAGTAACATGAAAGAATGAGCATTCTTCTTTGTCTACCTTTATTAACAGGAGTCTGGGACTTATTTCGCTGCTGGTCAAAATAATGTCTAACTTGTATTCTAATAAGCACCTTTTAAAAGCAAGGCTCTAATACTACAACCTTCCTTTAATAAACGTGGTAAGCCCACATTCTAAAAGAAAGCAGTTGAATGCTATTGGTCCCCTATCTACTGGCTAGAAAGGAATTACAATTGAAAAAAAAAAGTGGGTTGATATGTTCTGTAGCTATATTACACTGTTCTTGATGTATTTTCATCTTGGTTATCTTTTGTTGAGTAACACTAAGCTTACTGTTTTTTTTTAAGTCAGCTGAAATTTAAAAATAGCCCTATCTACGTTTAGGGAATAAAATACTTTTACAGAATATATTTGTATCTACTCTGAGTTTTTAATCAATGTAGGATGTCATGCATCTCCAGCATTCACATTTAAAAAACAACTTTTTTTTTCACGTTCATGTGATGAAAGCGGTTTGCTTCTTTGACATCTGTCTGTAAGGAGAGCTTTACTTCTGAAGAGCCGAAAGTCTATTTCTTTATCATCTGGTGAAATGTATCTTTCAAACCTGGAAAAAAAACAATAGCCCGAGGCTGTGTAAAGTATTTTGCTTCCTAATTTATGTTAGGATTTATTGCTTTTGGGTGGGTGCCAAATCGGTCTACACAGGGAGCTGAAAGTGGAGTGATTTTTCACGGGGCACAGAGCAGGCAGATACTTTACTGGTTTCTTTCTGCCACCCTGCCAGGATGAGTTCTGCCCCTGGCAGAGTCCCCTTCTTATATCCTGGCTTCACCCCCGCACTGACCAGCAGGGCAGCTGGTGGTAGCTATTTAGTTCAATTTCAGCTCTGACTGAAGTGCAGGGTGTCAGGAAGAAGGTGGCTTTTTATAGCATGTTAACAACTTACTAAACCTTGCCAGCTTCTTTTGAGGTATAATTGAAATCAAAGTGTAAGAGGATCAAGCCTGCACAGTACTGTGATTATTACAACACTTGAGTGGTAATTATGGGGTAATGCAAATGGTTATAATTCTTAAGGAAAGGTAAACTTCAAAGATTTGCCTTTATAATAGTCTGCCTCCTTCTCTGAAATGGTACGTCCCGCTCTGGGTCCCGAAATCGACGGCCTGTCGCACGCCGAGTGGCCGTCAGAGGGCCATGTGCAGCAGGCCGTTTTGGTGGGGGTGGTTGTTCAGCAGAGCGCTCCTCGGAGTTGAGTTATGTGAAAGGTAAAAGGAAAAAAAAATGATGTGCATTTCAGGAAAAAATGAAAAGCAAGAACAAACTGGTCCCCCGTTTGCTGGGCATAACCAAAGACTCGGTGATGCGCGTGGATGAAAAGACCAAGGACGTCGTGCAGGAGTGGCCTTTGACTACTGTGAAGAGGTGGGCTGCCTCACCAAAGAGCTTCACACTGGTAAGCTGCCTCACTTTTCCCTCATGGAAGGAGCCATTTGCCAAATTCCTTCAACCTCACACTCTGCCAGAGGCTCTGCTAAGCCTCTCTTAATTAGCAGTAGCTTGAAATGACAAAACCAACAGGTGGTCGCTGGTTTTGCTGGCCATTTTCCTGTTTTGGAAGCACAACAGAATCTCTTAGGTGGAACCAAACACTGTGAAATGCTGCCTAAATGAGAAAAGAAGAGGTTTAGATTACATTTACTTTAATTACTAGTTTAGTTTGTGGTGGCTGAGAAGGACATTTTAAGTAATTTTTTTAAAGGATTTTTGTTTAATCATTGATGTCTTATGATCAGTAATAAAAAAAATCCTTGCAGAAACATATGCTAGCTCCAGTTACCATAGAGTAATTGTTTTGCAAAGAAAAGAGCTTTGAGGTTCAGAGAGTGCCACTATTACTTTACATCTTACACTTAGAGAAGTTCATTTTGTGTAAGGAATATGGAAACTTAGCTTAACAGAGCCAGAAGAGGCTAAGTGTTCATGAGAGCTGTAAAGGCTATGTAGATGCTAAAGACCAAACAACTAAGTGTCTTGACTTTAGAAGTCATATAAATTGTACAGTTACACAATGAATGTGGCACAGCTTTCAAATTTATATGCTTTCATTTTTTTTTGCTAACTGATTGCATTATAGATGTGCTGCATTTTTTTTTATCTTGACCGAGACACTATGCTATTCTTATAGCATCACAATCTCTCAGGACGTGCCTTTAAATGGAGTGTCTGTTGACCTCCCATTAAAAGGTTTTGATTCAGATCTTCCACGAGTATTGAGTCCAGTTATCAAGGGAGGACACGTGTTGAAATAGGAAGAGGTGTTTTGTTTGTTCTGAGCTTAGGGCTAACACAGAGCGGCATTATGAGCATTAATGTAGCATAAAGGATTCAAATTCCCCTGATTACACTTTATTTGACATCTGTGGAAAAGCTCAAATCATGGCATTAACTCCTACTGGGATCCATGAAATTCTGCCTTTTTGTTTCTACAAAAAGAACGAAGTTAAATCACTGAGATATTTTACACTTTTGAGATGACTTTATGATCTGTCTTTCGGAAAGAATACATGACCCAAACCCTGTGCATGTCTGTATAGCTCAGCCTAATTACCAGCAGCCATTTCAGTAGCCATCAGAAGGGAGCATAATTTGTTTGGAATCCAAGCACAACATTTAAGAAAGTATTACATCATTAAACCATTTTAAACTAATCTTTCAATCCATGTGTTCAGACAGATGGAAGATTCCAGTGGATGTTATGTGAGTGGTTGTTGGACAGTGACATTTTCTTAAGTGGTAAAAAAAACTCTTTAATTCTCTAGGATTTTGGGGAGTATCAGGAGAGTTACTACTCTGTCCAGACCACTGAAGGTGAACAGATCTCACAACTCATTGCTGGATACATTGACATCATCCTTAAAAAGGCAAGTAAGATGAATGTTGAGTTTGGTGTATTTTTGCACTGGGATCAGCTAATATTGCCACCCACGATGTATGAGGCCATAAGAGCATTTTGAGTTTAGGTAGTTGGAAAACAATGCAAAATAGTTATGAAGTACACAGGGTCTCCAATATACAGCAAAGTTGGGGACCGGAAAGTCATAACCCATAATGAAATAACATACTGTATACTGTACATATACAATATATGTAAATGTAGGAAAATATCCACATTAAGGACAGTAAGAACATAAACTTAGCACATGCTCCTTAAATTAATTGATGTTTTCTCCATAACAATCAGTTAAATAGTGGGATGGGGGACCATTAGGTTTCACTTGTAGCTACATACTGTAAATACAGCATAGTTCATTTTTTTCATAGTACTCAGAACATTTTTCACTAATTTTTCTTACTTGTAACAAATTTAAGCTGCAATTTAAAGTAACTAAATACTTTTTAAATATAATTTACCTTTAGACATGGCCTAGGTGTGATTGATTTATGTTGTCAAGGGAATGGGAGGAAACTGTGTTACACTGATGCCAAGATAAAATACGATAAATGTCAACGTCACTTACAGTACATTCACCACCAGATGTGCAAAAGCAGAGAAACAACTTATCTTAAACAGAAGTCATGAAGTTGAAAATGATGCACTGAGGTGTGGTGAATTTTTATGTTGTGTCCCTAATATCTCAGCGACATTTGTGTGAGAAATGTATGTAATGTTGGGGTGACTAATAAAAAGAGATTTTGGTACGGTGGGTGCAATTGAAAACAGAAGCTTAATACATACAGACTATCCATTACAGTGCTTAAGGAGATGCTTTTAAAAGAATTAAAGAATATTAGCAAATCAAACAGTGTTACTCACACAGGTGACACAGGTCATTCAGAAGCAAGTGGGCAGACCTGCCTGGGTCTCTGAGGGACACTTCAGGCTTGATTTGAAGGGCTGTACTGTTCTTGACGCTGCATCATCTGCTCCTTTTCCTGCAGAAGCAAAGCAAAGACCGATTTGGGTTGGAAGGAGATGAAGAATCCACCATGCTGGAAGAATCAGTCTCCCCAAAGAAGTGAGAATATAGTTTCTTTATTATTTTAGATGTTGGTAAGCTATTGCTGTTACAAATTCCTTACATGTTTATAGCGCTTTTCTGGACACTCCACTCAAAGCGCTTTACAGATAATGGGTATCCCCTCCACCACCACCAGTGTGCAGCCCCACCTGGATGATGCAACAGCAGCCATAGTGCGCCAGAACGCTCCCCACACACCAGCTCTCAGTGGGGAGGAGAGCAGAGAGATGAAACCAATTCATAGATCGGGATTATTAGGAAGCCATGATTGGTAAAGGCTTATGGGAAATTTGGCCAGGACGCCGGGGTAACACCCCTATTCATTTGTTCTGTTCCTTTTAATGCAAATACACCAGTCTCTCTGTGTGCTGTTAAAGGGGTTCCTGTTTGGTAAGGAAAGAAATTGCATACATCACCTTTATATGGTGGCCTTTAAGTGGTTAAGATGTTGGAAGATATGAAAAATTGTGCACAGATGGTAGAAAACAGTTCACCTTGGAAATGGCTTTAAATGATTTAAAGTTTACATCGAACTCTAACTGCTGCCAAAATGAATTTGGCCTGTTCATTCATCAGAACACATGCAGCCACCATAAAATACTGAGGATTTAGACATTGTTGTGCAAGATGGAGATGAGTGGCTGGCTGGCTTTGGTTATGTGTACCATTTCTTCAATCAGTAAATACATTTATTATAGTCTGCCAGGCTGCAGAGAACTTCCTAGTTTATTTTTTTAGCTGTCTCCCAGTGCTGTTAAATGTATGGATAGTGATTGTGCATAGAATACAAGACATTACAGTTGAGTAGAAAAGACCTCTGGTTGCAGTTCTTTTTTCAACCTATGTTAACTGTATTCTATGTTCAATGTAACCCCAGCATGAAGAGGGTCCAATTGTTTTTTGTTTGCTTGTGGAAATTGAACAGAGGAAGTACATTTCTCCAGGAACGTTTAATTTTACATCCTCTTTTGTGCTTAAGAACCAATTAACTGATCTGGAAGAAAGAATCATTAAATAAATAAAGGAAGCTGTGTTGCAGAGCAACCTGTCTCCATCTTGCTGTTCGAACATTAGGTTCTGCTTCTCTGTAATCTGTCAAGTCTTGTGCCTAGGTCAATACAGGAGTTTCCTTTAAAAAACAACTCCATGCACAGACTCAGACATAGTCATTATGCCTTGGATGCTAGTATTTTTTCTCTGGAAATGAGGAATTTGGTGGTCATTTTCTCAAGCGGTCACCGGTCAGTGCTCTTTCTGGGCTAGTCTGCTCTCTGGTGGGTTCTACACTGCCGTTCAATTAAGCGATGTCTAAGAGTAGGAAGTTGTTTGAAGGCAACAGATGACACTCTGCCACCACTTTGATTAATATTAGATATCATAGATGTTTGGTGTATAAAATGTGGTTGTCTTGGCACTCAAGCCCAATCTGCTTTATCTTCTGGGTTTTAATTTGACATGTTTTTTCTACATGCAACAGTCTAATATTCAAGAACTTCTTGGATTTTTTCACAACCACCAGACATGCAAGAGTAATTCTTTTGGCTGCCCAGACTCCTGTGTTGTTTATTTAAACAATAAATAAACTTGTCTTCGGTTAGTAATTTTACTTACTTTAATATATCAATGCTGGAAATTCTCCTGATTTCTGGTTTCTACAACATAAACCTTAGATTTAGAAGATTCATATACCCTGTTGTCCGTTTGGCATCATTTGCTTAATACGCACAAAAAATTGTAGTTGCATTGTTAAATCTATAACATTGCAAGTTTTTTTACAATCAGTTGAATCTCAATATACGTCAAACAGCTTCAGTTTTTTCCAACTTCCTTTCTAAATTTTCACCCGAATGTTATTTGCATTGCGGTTAGATAAGGTCTGGATTCTTTTCTTCATGTTGTTTGAAACTGATTTTACATTAAACTGTACTACCAAATGTAGTACGTTTCCAAAAGAGAGAATTCCTTTCCAATGCAAAACTTAAAATATTGTGTGAAATTGCCTTGTTGGTTAGGGTGACTTAAATTCAGTATGTGGAGTGTAGACTTTCTAGGTAAAGTGAACTGGAAGATGGGTGCAGCTGGTCTTCTTAAAGCAGTCCTCCTCTTGTCTGCTACAGGTCCACGATTCTGCAGCAGCAGTTTAACCGCGTGGGTCGGGTGGAGCATGGCTGTGTGGCACTGCCAGCTGTTATGCGTTCGGGATCGAGTGGACCGGAAAGCTTTAACATGGGCAGCATGCCCTCTGCACAGCAACAGATCATGACTGGCCAAATGCACAGAGGGCACATGCCCCCACTGGTAAGAATTAACCTGGGACCAATGTCGCAACTTCTTACTTAATCAGTATTAGCACAACTATTGATTCAGGTCCTGAATAACTGCTGCATTGTTACAGTGTTGTTAATATAAGTACTGGGTTTTCCTTTTGAATAGAGACAATTCATGCTGTTCCATACAGTAGCCTTTCGGGACTTATCTGCAAGGTACAGTTTAACAGCTAGCGTGCTGGGGGGGGGGGGAAATACATTTTTATTAGTAACAAGTTACAAAAGATTCTTTAGGAAGTATGCTCTTCCAAAGAAAGGTTTCTCCAAGCTCATGAAGGTTGCAACAGTTCAATTCCATGGTGCACCCATGGGATCACTCTTGTTTCCTCTGCAAATTGCAATACCCCATTAATGTAATACTTTCTAGAAAGTGTAAATTGAATTCTACCACTCTGTCAAACTGTCCACTGTTTTTTGTTCTTAGGAGAATCATTTGTGATTTACTGTTAAAGTTAATGCTTCTCCTAAAATATAATTCTTTATGTCTATCTAAATCAGAGCTCGGCACAGCAAGCTCTAATGGGGACCATTAACACCAGTATGCAAGCGGTCCAGCAGGCCCAGGCTGACCTCAGTGAAGTGGATAACCTTCCACCTTTGGGACAAGACATGGTGAGCTCACAAAAAGTTGTGTATAATACGGCTGTCTGCATCCATGTATTTTCAAAACAGACTTACACGTCAAAAGGAAACCTTCTCTGGACCAGAAGATTAAATTCTTCAGGTTTGTCTTTTATTCAATGTTAGAGACTGGTAAGCAGCTTAATAAACACGCTCCTTGCCAACATGTGAAGCTACAAAACCTGATGGATGATGCAGTAGCAGAACTGTGGGTTTGCTGCCCTTCTGCTGTTTTCCAAACCTCTCCAGCTTCACATGTGTTTGGTTTTGTACCAGCCTCTTCTCAATGTTCCTGAGTGCATTGATAAAAACATACAATATTTGAGACACTTTTGTTCTGTTTAATAGGAATAGGTGCTAAGAAATAACACACATTTTAGAAGAGCCAAAGCAAAAACAGTTACAGGTATCATGTGACCAGCTCATTAATATAAGACTTAATATCATTTGTAACTATGATGAGATTTCATTTAAAGGATACATGGAGCTGTGGGGGAATTGTCAAAAGTAATGCTTCAGCTATCTTTTATTGTGGTGGGAAATTGCCTCCAACAAAACAGGCTTCAAGGTCTTTTAATGCCAAAGCCCTGATAGTTGGAGGAATAAAAGGAACCCCGCCACCTTAGCAACGTGAGATGCCCGTGACATCCCGTCTGAGGTATTCTTTTTTCAGACCTCATTTATGACGCATCTCCCTTCTGCATTTCCAGGCGTCGAGGGTTTGGATTCAGAACAAAGTGGATGAGTCAAAACACGAGATTCACTCCCAGGTTGACGCAATCACAGCGGGGACTGCCTCCGTAGTCAACCTTACAGCCGGTGAGCCTTACTCGCTGACGAAAGTGCCCTCAGCGCTAGGCCACAGCGGTTTAAAGGTGACATGTTCAGACGTAGTGGGCTTTACTGCTGTTTGATAAATGAATTGGTTTAAATACCTAACTAGGTCTTTCTTATATGCTGTAAATCACAGGATGCCTTTACAGTACCAGGTTGTTCTCTCTGCCTTATTTTTAGTGGCTTCTAAGATTAATGTGGCCATAAGTCGTCACTTACGCCTTCGAAGCTGGTCGTCAAGCATAGTGGAAGATCATTTTGTATGATTTAAAGACAGGCAGAGTTTCAAAGATATGCACTTACATGCATTCATTCTAATTTTAGGAACTAACCTATAAAATGCGTTAAAGTGTATAAGGCTTGACTAAAGTAAGAATGTCTGTTATATTACACAGCATTCAGTAAGATACAAAAAAACATTCTTTCATTAGATGATGTTTGAATCCTATGACCAGCCATCCTTAGGCAGTGTGAGTTTTAGAAGTCTCTTTGTCAGTTTCAGACTGTGGGTTCTGCTTTGCTCAAGTTTAAAATCTTAAACTTTTGTTGCATCGTCTGTGCCTTTGTTACAATTTTTGTTCAGTTATGTTTTGAAAATACATTTGCTCAAATTAAAAAAAAAAAGTGCGAATGAAGATAACATTTCCACGCAGAGGCTATCCCTGGAGTGAGCAAAGTTGTAATCGCCAATGGCCTGTCAACTCAAGGCACCTAGCCAATCGGTCGTCTTCCATCTGCCTGACCAAACAGAGAGCACTGTTATCCTTTGCTTGCAGCTGGGTGTATAACTAACCTCATTTTATGATGAATAATCATGACGGAGATGTCCTTATGGTCACGAGCGATCATGAGGAGTCTTTGTCTCTGCACCTCTCTGTCTCCTCCAATTGCTTTGACACCTTGGTTGCTGCAGGGCTCAGGGCCTGATGATGCCCTGGGAAGTGTAGGAAGGGTTAATGTGGGGCTTCTCCTGCCACAGGCGACCCCGCTGACACGGACTACACAGCTGTCGGCTGTGCCATCACCACCATCTCCTCCAACCTGACGGAGATGTCCAAAGGCGTGAAGCTGCTGGCCGCTCTGATGGAGGACGAAGTGGGCAGCGGGCAGGACCTGATGCGCGCTGCCCGCACTCTGGCTGGGGCCGTGTCTGACCTGCTCAAAGCTGTGGAACCAGCTTCAGGAGAGGTAAGAGAGGGGTCCTTCCCCTGCTCCTCTGGCATGAGGGCGCCACCCCCTGCCGTGACCTCCAGTTCAACAAAGTACTGACATTTGAGCAAGAAATCAGTTGAGAAGTTCTCATGTACATGTAATTGTGTAGTAGTCCAGGAGAGGTTAGAGAGGGAGTTCTTCCGTGCTTCTCTGGTATGACATCCCTGCCGTGAACTCCAGTTCAACAGAGCACTGACATTGGAGCAAGATATCAGTTGGGAACAAATTCTCATGGAAAATTAAATGTACAACATGAGAAATACAAGTAGTTCAAGAGAGGTGGGAGTTCTCTTCCATGCTTCTCTGGGATGAGACTGACCACTACCATGACCTCCAGTTAAACAGCGCACTGCAATTTGAGGAATAAATTTGAGCTCATGTAGCTCAATGGGCAAAGCCACGCACGTAAGGGACATCTAACCGATTGAAGAAAACAAGTTTGAGCAGGTGCAAATGTCTAGCGATATCTAGTCAACCTTAGCAGCTGAAAGCTTCTGTAGAAAGCCATCCACTCTTAATATCCTTTTCAGTAAGAGAAACATTCATTCATTTCTACACAATTAAATGAGCAATTGTCCAGTAGACAAGGGGTTTTATCCTCGTTGGCATTATTGCATTTAAAGTACACTAATGTCTCATTTGTCTTAAGACGTTAAAAAGGAGAGGAGGCCTTTGACCTCATCTAGCTCTTTTCATGGTTAATATATTCATGGGTCTCATCCAGCCTTTTCGTTAGAGACACCAGGGTATCTGCTTTAACAGTAACTGGGTAGCTTGTCCCATACTACTTTCATTCTGAAGAAGTCTTCTCTGTTGACTTTGTCAATACCTTGTATGAACAGAAAAATGTTTGCAGAAAGTAACGTCCAAAATCCAGAACCAAAGAAAAACTGAGACACTTTACTTATGGTTCTCCCCCATGCAAACGTGTTTCTGTTGCAAACACACTTGTATTAAGTCACTGTTTGCCTTTAATTACGGTTTCTTAGGTATTTTTGGTAAGTGTTTTTTGTACAATATGAAACAAAGAAGCTTTGTAAAAACAGGGCTTCATTAGACATTCAACCACATTTAGCATGCACAACGAATTTCAAATACACTTCCACAGGGGTCTCATACTTGAATTAAATATTATCTTTCAAAGCTGTAAAGAAATGTGTATATATAACTTATTCAGACATGTAAATCTTGAGCAAACGGGAGGATATAACTGGGGTTTTTACTCCTGGTCAAATTAGTTTTCCTTGTGGTTGCTTAATTGTTTCCTTTAGTGTATAAAATATGTATATAAATATATGTATACATCTTTGTTTTGGGGCTGGTGTGTATTGTATGTAAAAGTTCAAAGTGAAGTGGATCAGGCTGGCTGCAGTCTTGGTACTTTGAGGGAATCAGTTGAAGAATCCTTTATGCGGCTGTATGTAAATGGCTTTCTCAGCGTCGGCCCTGCAGAGACCTGGCTGTGTAACCTTGTGCTCTTCCCCTCCAGCCTCGACAGACCGTGCTGACTGCTGCTGGCAGCATCGGGCAGGCCAGTGGGGACCTGCTCCGCCACATCGGCGAGAGCGAAACGGACGAGAGGTTCCAGGTAAGAGGACGCGACTTCAGGATGGACCAGCTATGAATTCTTCAGATACAGCCATTTGTGCTGTGTTTAAATCCTGGGCTCCTTCGTTCGTAATTATCAGCTCTTCAAAGACAAAGGTCACCTGTTTTTTCCCCAACTTAGTCAATATGCAGTAGCTTCCCCAGTTTCATTAGTTTGCACCTGGTTTTTGCTTAACTGACTCAATACACATCTGCACTATGTGCTTTTTGCTGTTCTTTTCTCACTACAACAAGAACAATAAATATGTAGTTATTATTTATGATGTTTGTAGTGTACTGTCTACATTGTGTGGTGTTGTCTGTTGTACCGTGCAAGTCCCAAGAGATCAGCACGATTAAGAATTCCCATGTATGTGCGAGGCTCTTCTCTGTGCACCTGCTGGAGTTCAGCAGTAGGGAACTGGCCGGTCGAGCTCAACCTCAGTATTCTCCTGTCATCACACAGCCCAGGAAGTGTTAAGATAACTTCCTGCTGGTTTTATATGTAGTCCCCTGGCAGTACCATTGATCCCTTCCAGCATCACTATCAACTATATGCTTCTTTAGCAGAGTATTTTCTTTTCTTAGTGCCCTTTACCTGATGTGCTTTGTGCCGATCCTTGTTGTACACGCCATGCTGTTTGGAGGCGTTTCAGAATCGATTTGCGTGCGCTCCGGATGCAGCCCGTCGGGCGGTTTTTCATGTTTGGTCTGGGTGTCGTGCAGGACGTGCTGATGAACTTGGCCAAAGCTGTGGCGAACGCCGCGGCCATGCTCGTCCTGAAGGCCAAGAACGTGGCGCAGGTGGCGGAGGACACCGTCCTGCAGAACCGGGTCATTGCTGCGGCCACGCAGTGCGCCCTCTCCACGTCGCAGCTCGTCGCCTGTGCCAAGGTAGCATCTCCACCGCGTGCCTGCTCCTGCAGGGATGACTTGTAACGTCTGTAAGATGTACTGTATAATTATAATCAACTCCTAACAATTGTTGCAATGATAACCTATCATTGCAACAAGCTATCATCAAATGTTTCAATTGGTAATTATAGATATACTGTATTATACTGTATGTGATACATTATATATAATAATTTTTATCAATTGCAACAATTGTTAACAATTGCCAGTTGCAGTGGTATGAAGACTCAATCAAACATGCTATTGAAAAAACTACATTAGGTGGCAGTGATTCATAATTGCATTTAACCCCAATTATACATACTGTATGAGATAAAGCAGAAGGTGCCCTCTTGATAGCGTGTTTAATTTACTGCTATCCATTGAGGGTAGTGTGATGTTGAGTTGTGAATAAGTCTGGGAATCAAGTAAGTCTGTTTTTATTTTTCCCCTCTTGTTTGTATGTGGAGCTCTGTGCCCATCTTATTTGCGTCTGCGCCTCACTGCCCTGCTGCCTCTTGCTCTTCCCGCAGGTGGTGAGCCCCACTATCAGCTCCCCAGTGTGCCAGGAGCAGCTGATCGAGGCCGGGAAGCTGGTGGACCGCTCTGTGGAGGGGTGCGTCAAGGCCTGCCAGTCCGCCACCGAGGACGGGGAGCTGCTGCAGCAGGTGAGTGCAGCAGCCAGCGTGGTCAGCCAGGCCCTCAGTGACCTGCTGCAGCACGTCCGCCACTACGCCAGCCGCGGGGAGCCGATCGGGCGCTACGACCAGGCCACGGACACCATCATGACCGTGACGGAGAGCATCTTCAGCTCCATGGGGGACGCTGGTGAGTACCGAGAGAGTCTCCTTCACCGGGCAGCGAGTATATAATGTGTGAATTGGGATGCTGTGACTTTTTGCATTTACCCAGCTCTTATCAGAAAGTCAACTGTTCCTGGTAAGGGTTGCAGCACCCCAGAGCCAATCCCAGAACTACAGGGAACAAAAACTGGGCCGTGCCCTGGGTGGCGCAGAGACTTATTGAGCTACACACACAGGGAACATTTCAAGACACCCGTTATCTCTTTGTGAGGTGGGAACAGGACCCAAATTCTGTGTGGCAGGGGAACTAACCACTTGCCACCCTTGACTCCTTTCATTTCTGGGAATGGGGTGAGTGTCTGTGTTAGTGTTGCTAGATGTAATGCAGAAGGCCATTGGCTCAGGTATGTAAAAATGTGCCTTGGGTCAAGTTGATGTGTTTAGCAGGAATTGCGGATTCCTTATAGACCATCAACCCTTCCTTCATGCGATTCTTCTGTACAATACCACAGACTGGGATAGCTTGAGCTTGAGGGTTCACAGGAGGGTATAGGTGAAATAAATTTCAGGGTTTACAACTTGCCTGTGATAAGTCATAAAATAAGCTCTGAATTCAATATTGAAAACTGTGTGTTATTAGGTTTTAGGAAAAAGGTTCATAAGAAGAAAGTGGGCCACTTTCCAATTCAAAGTCTTGGCCCTTGCTTAGATTGAGATAAACTGAGTTTTGGCAGGTTTACTTGCTTGATGCACTTGTCTAAAACAAAACATCAGAGAAACTCTTTTCTTTATTCCAGCCCGCTCTCGGTTGTTGGCACATGACTCTGGAACACCGTGCCAGATCCCTGAATTTTGATGCCAAACAAATAGGTTTTGAAAGGGGTAATGCTGTCCCTTCATTAAGAATATAAGGAATGATTTGGATACATCTTTATTTCTGTCTCGTCTTGTTTATAACAGATGTTGAACGTTTTGTGCCTGATTTATTCCGTTGTTTGTCTTGTGGTTTGCAGGGGAAATGGTCCGTCAGGCAAGAGTCTTGGCCCAGGCCACCTCGGATTTAGTGAACGCTATGAGGTCGGACGCTGAGGCCGAAATAGATGTGGACAACTCCAAGAAGCTTCTTGCTGCAGCTAAGCTCCTGGCTGATGCTACAGCCCGAATGGTTGAGGCTGCAAAGGTAATGAGATGGAGAGAGACTCATCCTTGTTTAATGGTTTTTGCTTTTCCAGTTGAAATAGTGAAGTTGACCAACTTCCTCCCAGAACCTTACTGGTTCAAGCCCAAGCTGTCACCGAGTTGCCCTTAAATTTACTCCTTGTGCCCTGTCCACCAAGATGTAAAGGTGCCACCCTGTAGTGACTGCAGCAGTAGCTGTTGTTCTTTCTTCAGCCTCTCTAAGTTCACTGGCTAACAGTATGAGCATAGTGATAGTGTGCCAAATAACTCTTAGAATTATTAATTGTAGAAGGCTCATTCCTAAATCCCCTTAGTAAATCCTGCTGGAAAAACTTTCAGAATGATGCAGAAATAATATATTAACTGCAGGAAAAATGGTCAAAATAATGGGCAAGAATACACTAAAGAGCACATCTTGATCCACATTGTCTGCACACTCCATTTGCATTTAAGTTTTCATAATATATTACTTCCAACTATTACAGATTCATGAATCTGTAATAATTTTCTAAAAATCTTGAGATTGAAGTTTAGAATTAATATGAATTCCATGCATTGGGGTGGTGTTAAAAGAGGTAAGGCGTGTAAGTTGATGAATCACCTTGCCAATCTGTCTTCCCTCCCAGCTTCATCTGAAATTAATTTGGGGTTCTGTTGACAGTCTCGTTTTATAATCCCAGATTAATGTACTTTCTGCATAGCAATTCTGGATTTATAATTCTTGAGGTAAGTGTTTCCATATACTTGCCGAGCCGAATGTACCTGTTTTGTTTAGAAAACACCCTTCTCAAAAACGTATGCTTGCGACCTTTCTTTTTAAGACCGCTTCCCAGAATTCTCTGGCAAGAGCAGGTTGTTTTCTCTAAATACAAGGTGACCTATTCAGTGTAGGCAAGAGTGAAAACAGCTCCTGACATCCCCTGAGAAGCCTGTGCCTTTGGGGAGAAAAAAAGACAGAGACATAAATGTGTTTCACTCATTCCTCCCTTGCTCAGCTTGTTTGAAGCTTGTGATGAACGATCTTTCTGTCAAGCTTTCAAATTTGAATCTGCTCAAAGACTGCCGGTTATCCAATCTAGGAGTTTCAAACTTGCTTCCTGAAAGGCCATGTGACATCTGATTTTTGTTTGACCCAAGCTCTCAGTTGCATAATGGGTCTAATTATTGAACTGAGTGCAACACCTGTTCTTCTATCCAGACTTTGAGGTGTTTTATAGATATCTGTAGCTTTAATGAAGTGAATGCTGTGTTTAAGCAGTTGTAAAAAAAACATTAAAAAATCTTACAAAATTAAAGACTAAAAAAGGACATGCAGTAGTTTAATTGACTACTCTGTTTGGAAAAAAATCCAGAACTTAGGTCCTCAAGAAATTGTTCCAGGTGACTTTGTATGCCACATCCTCTGCAAAAGACTTAACACATGAATTGCATTTTAATCCAAAGTGATTGCAAAATGGCATGATAGAACTAAAAGAGGCTTTTTCAGAAAGAGGCACCCTTTTCACTTTGAAAATAATAGGAAGCATATGGGCTCAATATGTTGGAATTCTTCAGAGTTCTGTCAGTGTGATCTTTCAGCGATCGGCATCTTCTTTAAAACTAAAATGATTCGAACTGATTTTTTTGTTCATGTTATAAAACGCATAGAACAGCTGTTACGTAAATTTCATATCATCCCTTTGTCTTATGGAGACTTCTTGTCAGTGAAAAACTGCCTCCCATGCGGTTACCCATTCTAATTCAGTAAGGTGCAGTGCTTTTCGCTGTGTGTAAGTTTAATGATAAACCTGGTTTCTTTTCCAAATGTAACACTTTGCTTTGTGTAAAAGTGTTTGAAGGGATCAACTCGCTTGATTTCCGGTTCAAGTCCCCCTTTGGAAATGTGAAATAACATCACAAATTACTCTTTATCACCTTTCAATATCCTGGGCATTACTAGGATATTATTAATGTGAAATACCAAGGCAAATGAAAAGATAGCTGATCACTTGTCGCTAATGCTTTTGATCTGTGGCACATTAGTCACATCATCACTGGCTTTATTAAGGGATATGAGAATACAGTGCTGATTGTTTCCTTGGTAACCATAAAAAAACTGACTCTTTAATGCCTCTTTGCTTTTTTTATAGTATACAGTTGAGAATTAAATATATTTTCTTAGTTGTGCTGAGGGAAGATACATTGTACTTGTCTTTGCTCCAAATATGGAGGAAAGAAAATGAGGAGGTGGTGAAATCTGGGTTAAATGTATAGTACAATTAAGTGTTTTTAAGAAAATGCTGCAAATTCCTAGATGGTAAACTAATTGAAATGAGAAAATGATTTCTGTGATTTATGTTCATGTGTCTGGTTCCATGATACTGCGTTATTACGTTTAAGCTCAAAATTGACATTTCACCTCCACCTCGTGTTTATTCCACTGTTCCAAAAGCTGTTTTGTAAGAGCACAGTTTCCGGCTTGAGAAATGCGGCAGGAAATTGGCAAAAGCCAGGAATGAAAACCTCTCTGTCATGTCTTAGCACATTGTTCCCATTGTGCCATGAAAGAACATACAGTAACAGGCTGACATGGAGTCTTCTGCTCGTTCTGTTTAAGGAAGGTAAAGGAGTGACAAAGGGAAAAGGTGCATTATTGCATGTTGCTTTTAGTCAGGCAGTTGTCTAAACGCATGAAATATGGAAATAAGTTTCTTTTGTGATGGTTTTTCATCTCTTGCTTTGGGTAAACTGACCCATTGTGATGCCTATCTTTAGGATTGCTCCAAAAAGTCTCCCATTCGGTCTACAGTCCATGCATTGTAAAGAAGGTTGTTCAGTCTCTGGGCTGTGTTTTGTTTGTGGGAAGATATTTATCCTGATGATGGGAGATTTATGCAGTGAAGAAATATGAGTGAAATGCTATGCTGATGGAAGTTGGTTTAAAAGTCACCGCAGCCCATAGCAGTTCTTATAAGAACCTTGTGAATTGTAGATATTTAGAATTTATGCCTTTGCAGTTCTACAGTTTTATCGGACATGTTTCACAGTGATTGCTTGTGCCTTCAATTTTGCTGGAGATGCTGCTTAGCAAATGCACGATATCATTTGATATAATGCTTTGCTGTTAATGTATGCAAAAGGGTAAGTCAGAAGAATATTAAATACTCATTAATATTCATTAGTGGTATGCATCACCTGGAAGCTTTATAGACACTAAATCACATTTTGTGTTTGTTTGCTTTAGCTGGTAAGATCTGGGTGGCATTAACAGTGCTTTTCCAGGCTGCCTCTTAATTAACTAAATTGCACCAAGCTTAACCCTAAATCCATATAAGAATAGCAATGCAATATACAGTAGAGCCCTGCTAATGGTATTAGTTTTCATTTCTGAATCATTTGTGAGGCACATTCATTAAGGCCACAGTCAGGCACATTTGTAAGTGACATTCAAAAAGAACAAGGATAAGTTTGGTTTGGCTCAGTGTTACAAATCAGTGGAGGTTTCAGCATGACAATTATCTGAAGTTGTCCAAGGATAAACTATTGTCTCACGGAGACTGCTTTCAATACCAACACAGCTCCTGCTGGGACAGGAACATCTGGCCTGAGTAACACAGACAGGAGGACAAAAATAAAATATCGGCACCCAGTGTCGCTATGAAACAAGCCCCCCGTGCCAGCAGGCATTGAACAGGATGTCCGTGTCCCTCAGGGGGCCGCTGCCAACCCCGAGAACGAGGACCAGCAGCAGAGGCTGAGGGAGGCGGCAGAGGGGCTGAGGGTGGCCACCAACGCCGCCGCCCAGAACGCCATCAAGAAGAAGCTCATCAACAGGCTGGAGGTAAGCAGCAGCTGGGCTGTGTGGCGGCAGGGCCGGCCTGCTGGTGAGGCCTCTGATGCTGGACTGTTGGTGGGCGCTGGAGCGAGCTAGTTGGCCCAGTGGCTGCAGGCGGCCGGCGTTTTCAACCGGCTGCCTTCAGGCCTCGAGCTGCGTAAAGGAAAATCACATTTGAGAAAATAAAAGCTGAAATATGTTCTGTATGCGCGGGTTTTGTGGAGTTCTTGATGTGTCGCGCTGCACGTTCGGTGGGTGCCCTGGAGACGGAGGCCGCGCTCACAGACTGGTCACATGGGAGTCGCGTATCGCGTGAGTTAGGGTCTTCAAGTCTCACAGGCATAGAACACAAAAAACAGATCATCTGAGAGCCGTCGGGCTGGAGATCTGCGTTTTACCATCCTCAGTTCTTGCCAGGACAAATTGACTGTACACTTACAGGCCAACTCGCATTAAATAAGTTTTGTTTATAAGCAAGACTGCTCTGGGTATGTTCACAGCTTATGAGGAGTACCATTTGTCATTAAATCAGTAATGACATTTTTTTACCACCAAATATACTTAAAAGTACGTTTTATACAGCATACATTGTTTTAATTTACAGTTACAGAGAAGCACATAAAGAGAGCACCAGTCAGTCAGAGCTTGTGGAGATGAACCACCATCTGCTTTCACTCCTCCAGACTGGCTGCAGTGGGAGACTAATGGGGGGGAGCTACATCAGGTGGTGGCTCATCCCAGGGGGCTTCAGACTCTATTTTGATTAAGCAAGATGCCTATACCTATTGCTCAGCATCCTCATCGCGCCACACTCTTCGCCAGAGCTGGTGTACCTCTCTCTATTGCATTTTGCTTTTAGTACATATATTAGCTGGATGTCCACGTCATAGACGTTTTGCTTTTATCAAGGTGTGCTGGGAGTGATTAAAATAAAGGCCAGGACAAAGAGCACCATTACGAAGTAGAGGGAAATAGCTGAAACAATTTCTCTATGTCTGTATTTCTGTTTCAGTCAGAATTGACCTCAGCCCTTTGATTCCTAGCAGTCGTGCACAGTTGTGGGAAGGTCAAGCATTGGGCTGTTGTCAGTGTGAAGGAATGAGTCTGCTGTTGACTTCCGCTTTGCATTTTTTCATATTCCTTTCCAGTTCTAGGGCTGCGTATTGATGAACACTAATTTCACAGCTGGAGGAATGGAAAAATATCTGGGAGCAGAGGGTTGTAATTTAGTACTCACTTATCTAAAACTAAGGCTGAGTTGTTTTTATATTGCTTATAGGACATCTTTTATAGGACTTATTTTCTCAAATGCAAGATTTTCCCCATTTTTGCTGCTCCCATCAAATTTTCCTGCTCTTTGACACTGAAATGTCTCTCTGTTCCTCAACTATTCTCTCTCTCTAGATCACAAAAGAAGGCGCAATAATCTTTATCTGATCCACCTGCTATTTTTCCCCCACTTCTGTTAATTTTCTCTTCTGTGGAAGTCAATGTTTTTGGTAGTCAAATGTTTGCGTTGTCTTAAAATGTTTGAGGCCATTCTGTTCTGCACTTTGGAAGGACAGCATCTGAGCTTTCTTTTTAGTATCGCAGGACAAAGCTATTTCTGTTCTTGAAACTTTTTTTTCATCCACCCACAGATGGTGGAATTCTTTTTTGTTTCTCATGACTCTATGAAAGAATGCAGTTTGCGGCTTACCAATATCAGCAGCGTTTCATATTGTGCGCAGTACTTAACATGTAAAGAGTTTTTTTTAAGCATGACTGATTTTTGCCCTGTTGTGTATTGTTCCTTCCAGCCTGCATGAGATTAAAAAAGATGAAAGAACATTAGTGATCTTCCCGTCTTTTCCTTTCCTGGCTCCCTTTACACATTGCTAACTTCGTCCAATAGTGTAGCCTAGCCTGTACAATCTCTACCTGCCATATCAGGCAACTCTGAAAGAGGCGCTAATGTGAGCGTTGGGGTGTGTCAGTTCCCTATCCTGGTTGCTGCTGGAAGAAGTGTTAGTGGGGCCAGCAGAGGGCGCTCACCCTGCGGTCCATGTGGGTCCTAATGCCCCAGTATAGTGACACTAAACTGTAAACAGGCGCCGTTCTTCGGATGAGATGTAAAAACCGAGGTCCCGACTCTCTGGGGTCATTAAAAATCCCAGGGTGTTTCTTGAAAACAGTAGGGGTGTAACCCTGGTGTCCTGGCCAAATTTCCCATTGGCCCTTACCTAATAATCCACCTCTGAATAGGCTTTATTACTCTGCTCTCCTCCCCACTGGTAGCTGATGTGTGGGGAGTGTTCTGGCGCACTATGGCTGCTGTCGCATCATCCAGGTGGGGCTGCACACTGGTGGTGGTAGAGGGGAGTCCCCATCACCTGTAAAGCGCTTTGAGTGGAATGTCCAGAAATGTGCTATATAAGTGTAAGCAATTATTATTATCCTCACTGTGGAAATACAGGTGTCAAGATGGATCCCCTGATGTGTTAAAAGTATTTTTTAAAGGAGTACTGGGTTTTAAAGGCTTACACTGTATCATTTTGTAAACATAAAACCTCTTGCAGCCTATGAATTAACACTTATTTTATGCTCTTTGACTGTCAAACTGCCTAAAATCTTCCTTCTTTCATCTTTGCACAACTTAATTAGACCGGAAAGATCCAACAAGGCCAATGAGCCTCTCGTTAATCTTGTCTTGAAAAGGCAAGACAAGATTAGTTCTTACAGGCACTTTGGTCCAGTTAAAGTTTCAGGGGTGTCCTCATGTTGGTGTTGATTTAATAAGTGTTTATTATGGAAACTTTTTTTTTCTAGAACGCTGCTAAGCAGGCTGCGGCAGCTGCTACCCAGACCATCGCTGCATCCCAGAATGCAGCAGCATCCAACAAGAACACGGCCGCTCACCAGCAGCTGGTCCAGAGCTGCAAGGTACTGGAGACGCAGGCGGGGGGGTCTGGTGCAGGAAGAACAGGGCATGTGCTCTGTACAGCTCATGCACTAAAGACCTTGAGCTTTGGCATTTCCAGCAACAGAGACTGTCATTTACAGTCAGAAAGATGAGATGTGCACAAAAAAGCAGGAGCAAATGGATTGCTTTTGACTTGTACCTTTCTAGTTTATCCAGCCCAGCTACAGTATTTGTAGACATTGCTTAAAAGTGTAGCACATAGAGTCTTTTGAAATACATAGTTTTTCCAATATAGGGAAAACCTGCACATTTTTTGTTCCATTTTTAGGCATCTGGGTGTATTCTGTAAGCATCCAAATAAGATAAGATCACTTTATTGGCCATATACCGTTTCTTGTGTTACGAATTTGCGTTTTCGAAATACCCCAGCTTGCTCTCCATGAGACACACAGGCGGGGAGAGAGAAGCTGGGGGTCAGGGCGCAGGGTCAGCCATTTATACACCGCCCCTGGAGCAGTTGGGGTTAAGGGCCTTGATCAGGGGCCAACGGAGTAGCCTCGGGATACGAACCGGCAACCTTCCAGCCACAGGCACAGATCCTGAGCCACAGAGCCACCTCCCCGCCCCCACAGAGTCACCGCACCCCACCACCCAAGTGCAATAACAATGAGTCTGTATCTCAGTGTGGTTGTGTTAATCACGTTGAAGCTGACCTGCAGGTCTGTGTTCTGTGGCTATGCAGGCTGTTGCAGACCACATTCCCCAGCTGGTTCAGGGTGTGAGGGGGAGCCAGGCCCAGCCAGAGGACCTCAGTGCCCAGCTCGCACTCATCATCGCCAGCCAGAACTTCTTACAGGTACTGTGGCTACGGGTCGTGCGTATGCAGCATGAGCCAGATGATTCATGAGCAGATGGATAGCAGCAGACAGACTAAGTACATCAACACCTCCCCTAACAAATCTTTATCGTTGTCGCCTGTCTTGGTAATTTTAGGTGAGTGCTAAAATAAATGTAAAAGCTCTATTTATATGCAGTTCATGATGCACACAGACATGTTTGTCTAGATATCTTTCCAGCTTGAAGAACGCAAGCACATTTCTCCCCATCTACTCCCATGTGACTAGCAGACCTGGAACAGTCTGGCGTACACCTGTAATCATTTCTACAGGTTGCGTTTCTCGGGAATGTGTCTTGCTGCAATGAAGCAAAGATAACTCTGCCTTCTGCTGTTTCAAAGCCTGGAAGTCGAATGGTGACGTCTGCAAAATCCGCTGTCCCAACCGTAACTGACCAGGCTGCAGCAATGCAGCTGGGCCAGTGCGCCAAGAACCTGGCCACCTGTCTGGCTGAACTGAGGACTGCAGCACAGAAGGTACAGGGAGAGTGACCAAAGGCTGAAGCCCTTTTTTGTTTCATCCTTAATGGATGTTTTTGTAGTCCTGAAAGAATGTATTTGATCTTACCTTTGACTTTTTCAACCTAAGCTTGTAATTCATTGTACTCCTTCTCTTTGAATTAATCCTGTTGTTTAATCATCTCAATTTTTTAAACCATGGGGGATAGTTTTTTTTTTTAGTATTGGTGTTTTGTTTATTCAATTTAAACCTAAGCACAAAACTCCAAAGAGTGAAGGAATGCGTTTTGTTGCGCTTGTCGTTAAGGCCCACGAGGCCTGTGGTCCGATGGAGATCGAGTCGGCCCTCACTGCAGTTCAGACCCTGAAGAATGAACTCCAGGATGCCAAGATGGCTGCCGCCGAAGGACAGTTAAAACCTCTTCCAGGAGAGTCGGTAAGTGTGTTTTTGAATAATTGATCAAGACCACCACAGGCACGTACTGCAGACAAAGCAGGAATTTTCTTTGGACTTAAAAAAAACCCACTAAAATGGCATTGTGGGTCTGTTCCTTTATTGTGTGGTACAAATCTGCAATGTCATCCCTTCAAAAAGAAGTCATGACCCTGAGCCTGTACTGCATATCATTTCATATGAATGAATTAGTGAAAATCCTCAACCAGTAAAATGTATTTCTTGAATTACCAAATGTTTTTAGTTGTACGTCACCATGAACTGATGTTTAGAAAACACACCTTTTGAATAATAGAGATTTTAATGTAACAGCACCAGGGCAAGATCAGGAAGTGAAAAGAAAGTAACTGCGCTGACGGCTGTGTTTTCGTATGTTGTGTGCAGCTGGAGAAGTGTGCTCAGGACCTGGGAAGCACGTCCAAGGCTGTTGGGTCATCGATGGCACAGCTGCTGACGTGCGCCGCGCAGGGCAATGAGCACTACACAGGTACGGCCCTGTTACTGCCCATCAGACACGCACAGGCCAGGCCGGAGACAGCAGCTCTCATTATTCCTTCGTTTCATAGTTGTGGTCTCTGACGACATTTGCATTTTGTATGCTAATATAAATCCCGAGGCAACTGCTATCATTTACAAATGATTTTTTTCCGTCTATCTTTCTGTATTATCTTGAGACATGTCTTCCGCAGAGGAATGGATGTTGGCATCTATAAACATTTCATCTCTTAATTTGGGCTGTTAAGAAAACACGAAGCCCCCGTTACAAAGATTAAAAATTAGTTCTTTATTTTTAGGCTTGTTTCCTCCTGTATGTTTGCCTTTTTGGAAGTCTTCCTCTCTCACACAAGGGTTAACTCCCATGGTCTATGGTCTCTGTGTGCAAGGGAGGGCATTAGGCTAGTCAATCAGTTGCTTTGCACTACAAAGTGGCTGTAGATAGGGGTTATATTTTATACTGTACATTAAAGTTGCTGTTAGTGTCCATTTTTCTGCATTTGTGCACACAGAGTCGCAGTTTACAAAGGAATGACAGTGAGGCTAATCCACTGCCTAATTAGTTTAATCTGCCAACAGGGGACAGTCCCAAACTGAGCAGACACATGCTCGAGGAACTGATTACTCATCCGCTGGTTAGGAAGATCAGCAGCTAATCCATTTCTCTATTAAGTGTATTAGTCTCGATTTTAAATAAAAGCAGGCTACAGTGCTTTAACACAGCTTGGTTACCACGCGGTGCAGGCTTTATTTTGTGGAATGAGTTCTTTTTCCAATTAGGATGGACGGATTTTGCTTTATTGGTCCCTTGATTTGAAAGCTTGAATTTACACCAGAGCCTAGGGTAATACTTTCTTCTCATTAATCTTATTTTCAATACATTTAGCATGCCATTAGCATGTATTACTGGATAATGGAAATTGCCTAGTTCCTCCGGCTTTGAATATAGTACATAAAGGTCACATCCCCAGTGGTGCCTCATTTTGCTATCCAACTTGTTTCTTTGAAGAAAAGAGATTCTTTCTTTTTTTTTTTTTTAACTGTGATGTTCCGTTGACTGAGGCATCAAAAAAAATCCATGAAGGAGATTGTCATTTTGAGTGTTTTTATACTTTTGCTCATCCTTCAAATCATCGGGAACAAAGGCTGCCGACTTTTAAATATCACCCATGAGAAACACTTTCCATTTGGCACTGCTCACTTTACAAGATTAGCTTTTTACACCAGAAAGCAATTTATTTAAAACTGAGTGATTGTAAAAGTTAGGCATGGACAGTAGCTAGCAGAAGGTGTGGGGAACATGTGTAAAATGAACCTTTTTTCCAGGAATGAATGCTTAGACACTGCTTGGATACAGGAAAGGTGGCGCTGGACCAGCTGGGCAGGTTAGAAATATGTGTGCTAATGTCCGGTAACGCCTGTGTAGGTGTTGCAGCCAGGGAGACAGCGCAGGCGCTCAAGACTCTGGCCCAGGCGGCCCGCGGAGTCGCTGCCTCCACCGTGGACCCCCAGGCCGCGGCGGCCATGTTGGACTCAGCCAGGGACGTGATGGAGGGCTCCGCCATGCTGATCCACGAGGCCAAGCAGGCCCTGGTCTCCCAGGGCGACGCCGAGAGCCAGCAGAGACTGGCACAGGTGGGCAGGCCATCGACGTCCCTCATAAAGGCTTAATGAACATTTTGCATGTTTGCAGTACAATCGTTTTCCTCGGCACTTTTTGGGCGGGATTTTAGTATACTCCAGCACATCGTATGATTTAAATAAATAATGTGATTTAATAATAAAGAATAGTAAATAACCGTAAATAATAGTGACAATAAAGTTGTCACTCGGTAGTTTGCTGTAATAAATTGTGGCACCATCATGTTCCAGTTATTCAAGACAAAAATGGAAAGTAAATTAATTAAAGTAAGCGTTGGGGTGACCATGCTTGATTTTCACAAGGAGTCGCCCTGATCGAATGAATACCCTGGTGGCATGTGGTTGTCTTGAGGACATTAAGATTTTCATCCCCTTTTCCTGACCAGAAAAATCTCCAGATATCAGTCTGGTTGAAAACTGTTGGATCCAGTAGTTTGACTGTGTACACAGGTACTGTAACAGTGTGAATGAGTGAACATGTCATTAACATGCCAATAGCATGTCGTTAGCCTTATTTCATTTTGCCGCATTATGTATTTTAAAAAAAAAGGAAACTTTTTTTGTGCTGTTTTTTAATATACCCAACACTTTTCTCCACATTTTGGGAGCGTCCTGTTAATGCAACACCTTGGTAGTAAGTGGCTCCTGTAATGTCTACTAGAGTGAGACCTAATACCCATTTATCTCTTCTTAATAATGATTAATGAGCTGTTTTCATACAGCTGTAGCAATGCGGGAGAGGAAGGAGCCGCGACGAGAGCCGGTAAAAGCTTCCCTGTCCAGCTGAGTAAAGCGTCACTGTGCCGTTATGTAGTGCGCCCCCCCCAGGCTGGACTTACCCTATCGCTTGGCGGCGGGGACCAGACTGGACCCCGTTCGATGGGGGACCAGACTGGACTCTCCCCATCGAACGGGGTCCAGTCTGGGAGAGCAGGCAGGGGGAGCACATGGCCCAGGTAGAAACTCAGCTTGTGGAAGGTCAGCCTGCCCCAGTAGAGATACCCAACAGGACAGGCGAAAAGAAAAAAAAAGTAAAAAAACGATGGAAAAAAACGACGGCCTTATGCTCGGGTACAACCCCCTCCGGGACGGCTGGTGGAATGATCCTCCCCTTCCGGGGCTGGCCCTGCTTGTCCCATTGCGGGGTGTCCAGTGTGTTTTTAAAGAGCCTTCCAAGCTGTGGCTTCTAAGGTAGCGGTTTGCCCTTCATCCAAGGCTCCATCTCCACACTGAACATGCCCCCCCCCCCCGTAGTGCCACACATCGTTACTAAAAATTTCATTGGCGTGTTCAACAGCTGCAGAGAAAATTATCCTTACACTCTGTCTAAGGGCTGCCTGCATTGCAAAGCTGACTAATGCTGTTTAGGGACAGTTCATCATGAAATCTTGGGATGAGGTTCCTGCTTTCTTGGCCCAGTGTCTGTTGGAGTATGTTATCAGTTAGATACATTTTCAAATTTTACTTCATCCATTTCCTGTATTTAAATGTATGAGTTAATTGATGTAGCTACTTTATGATTTTTTTTGTCCTTTTCCGTTTTAGGTCTTTTAACTCTTTCAAAGACTATTATTATTATTAACTGTCCATCGGATAAGAGGAGGCATATAGAAAATGAGTCAACTGCGTTTTGCAGTAAAACTGCAGTAAAGTGCACAAATATTTATGCGAGACAGTACATTCCTTAGCTTTATGTGCTTAATAGGTTGAAATGTGTAAATTGGCCATTCCTAATCTATCCTTTCTGTGAATTGCCTTGTATTTAAACAGTCTTCTGTGTTTTCCACTATTAAACCTGCCTACTTTTATTTCCATTAGATTTCTAATTTATTGAAATATATCTAATTTTGTTCCTTTTTACATTCTCATGGTCAGAGTTGCTCTGACACGTTTTCTAGTTTCAGTAACGCAAGAGCAAGATTCCTGTTTTCACTACAGGCCTTCAGGGAAACAAACATATCAAGCAGCGCGTTTTTGGATCAGAAGTGTAAATTGGGCATGTCAAGCTCAGCTCTGTTTTTCTGCCATCTGCATTTTAAAACTATTTCAGTTCTGAGGTGATGCGTTCTGATACGTCTTCTGAGAGAGCTAATTGTCATGCCTTTGTCTCAAAAGTGAGAGATTTGTAAAAGCCAAAGAATTAAGCTCTACTATAGATTGGAAAAAAGTAAACGTACTGTCTTACTACACATACATCATTTATACAGTGTGATATAAACAGCTGAATAAATGCTTTACAATGCAAAACTTTACATTGGTGTAATATTTTGTATTATCAGTAGCCCCTATTATTTTCTGGTGATTATCATGTAATTAAGAATTTGATACCCTGATATCCCGAACTTGCAAATGACATAGAATTACCTGGTCTTGGGTAGAAGTTTTTGAAAGTGAGCTTGAAATTCAATTCTTGTGTTGTGCAAGCATGTTCATGGGTGACAAGACAAGCTCTGGTTTGACATTTCTGTTTGTAATTTTGCGTGTTTTCCCCTCCACCTAATTTTTTTAAAGTTTCGGCAAACATTGTGTGTAGCTTTCATCATATCATTTAGCTCTGAAATGACTAGTGACTTGAGCTCAGATTTCAATAAAGACATGCGGCTTGTATTGACATCTACATTTCTTGTTTTTCAGGTGGCAAAGGCTGTGTCCCACTCGCTGAATAACTGTGTGAACTGTCTGCCGGGGCAAAAGGATGTTGACATGGCCTTGAAAAGCATCGGAGAAGCCAGCAAGAAGCTCCTGGTGGATTCTGTGAGTTCAGCAGGACAACTCACGCTTGCTCATCGCATGGTCCTTGAGCTTTTCCATGTTGGAAATAAGAGCCCTAGCCACAACTCATGTTGCTGCCATGATTGTCCCAAACGTCTCAGAACCGTTAAATTACCTGTCAAATTAGTTACCAAGTAACTACCAGTTTAATAATATATCCAGTAGACATTTTTGTAAAGAATGCCATGTACAAATTGAATTTTAAGGGTATTTTTCCCAACATAGAAAGTGAAACTCAGGGTTTGGGTGTTGATTAGGCCTCAGATCAAATCGAAGATGGTAACCTTGCCTTCTGACTCATCCCACAGCTGCCCCCCAGCACTAAGTCCTTCCAGGAAGCCCAGAGTGAATTGAACCAGGCTGCTGCTGATCTCAACCATTCGGCTGGGGAGGTGGTCCATGCTTCCAGGGGCACCAGCAGCGAGCTAGCTGTAGCTTCTGGGAAATTCAGTGAGGACTTTGATGAATTCCTGGATGCTGGGATTGAAATGGCAGGCCAGACTCAGGTAATCCAATATTGATGTGCTGGCATCTGTGAGCTGAATTCACAATGAACCTCTTCGTTAACATCAACAGAGTCATTTTGCCTTTAGTTAAGTATCGTGAGCATAAATCCAATACATTAGTAGAAGATGGTCTGTCTCAGTATAACCATGAATTGATTGCTTTGTGTAGTATGTTATGATTGATTCATACATTTTAACAGGTTTACTCAGAAATGCTATTGTCTGCTTAAGCCTTAATAGGATCTTAATTTGTCTAGTTCTGCAAAATTATTAATAAAGAAAATGGTTGCCGGGTCATGACTGACATCACCACAGGTGATAGCTGTTAGCTGCGAAAATGTTGAAAAAAATAAATTAGCACAGAAGAATGGGAGGGAAGAATCAGTTGCACATCTGGACAGTTCCGATGAATGGGATGCCTGTGCCTGGCACGGAGGACAGATCGGCCTTGATAGAGAACTGATGAGACAAGAAAACCATTCTAGAAGGATACCACATTGACGCATGTGACTCCAGCGTTGCCCGAGCTCTGAGCCCAAAACCACGTGCCTGGGGGTGACCTCTTGAACAAGTGAGACTGCCACAGGGGCAGGAGGAGTAGGAGTGCAGTATGGTCCTTGACTTGGTGCCCAGTCAGCAGTGTGTAAAGGCCTTGTTTTCAACATGCAATTGTGTTTCACCTTCTTAGTGCAAGGAGGACCAGATCCAAGTCATTGGAAACCTGAAGAACATTTCCATGGCTTCCAGTAAACTGCTTTTAGCTGCCAAGTCCCTCTCAGTGGACCCTGGAGCACCCAATGCCAAGAACCTTTTGGCAGCAGCAGCAAGGTATGGCTCTAAATATTTAACATTATAGCTGCATGCTGATACCGTTTATGGTTTCAGAGCAGTGTAGACAATGGTCCGGTTTCTGTAAAAAGTGCCCGTCTAGCAATAATCTGACGTGTCTTAATTATTGCAGCCTTGTGTATTTTCATTCCAATTTGTCAGCACTTTGCATCAAATGGTAACTGTTTTAAAGTACAGTAGTGCACTACATTCAGCCTTCCAATTTTGCATCAAGAAATACCACTGTATTGTAGGTCTTTTTATTAGCCGCCCTGAAGTGTAAAGTCTGTTCTTTTCCTCTGCTGTAATTGGACTGTATGGAACAGTGGCCATGGATTTTCTGTGCCCATTGATGCTGAAAAGCTTCCTTTTTGGAAGTCAGAGGAGTGTTTGTACTTGATTAAATGTACTCACTTTATATTGCACAGAAGCAAGCTTTGTGTCATACCAGTGTGGTTTCTGTGGAGTCAGGCTGAGCGATCTGTTTGAGCCCTGGTGTTACCCTTGTGTTTCAGAGCAGTGACGGAGAGCATTAACCAGCTAATCACACTGTGTACCCAGCAGGCGCCAGGGCAGAAGGAGTGTGACAATGCTCTGCGAGAACTGGAGGTACAGTAATGCCAGTTTCTGTCAAACCTGTGCAGAAGTGTGCTTTTTTTCAATAAATCAATTATAACTTAAAATGGATCATATCATGTGCTCCCCCTTCAAACACCACTGCCACTGTGACTTAGTGGAAGAGAGCTGCATGATTATGATGCTGGTTGACATAAGCTGCCAGCTGGAATTTCCTTTATTCCTTCTGGAATATGTCTTGTGCGGTGCATTTCCATTTGCAAATATTCTGTCCGTGGAAAAGAACATCAGCTTTTTACAGGACAAAAGGATGCATTCTGGAACCCTCTTGGCTGTTTTTGCAACACAAAATGTATTATTAAGTTAGCCCCTCGCATGTTTGTTTAAAAACTCATTTTAATTAATACACACAGTGTGCTATGCCATACTGGAGATAATTGTACGCTGTATTGACTGGTTCCCTACCTCCTTGTGCTCAATATCGCTTCCTCTGTGATCATCACTTGACTACGTGGCTTGTAATGGCTGACCTGTGCTGCTTTGCTTTAAGAATACCCATCACTCTGTGAAGAAAACTTCCAGATGTCCAAAATATGAAATGCATGTTAACAAAAGACTGCTTTCTGATGCAAGGCTGTGCCAAATACTCTAAATCTCTCATTCACCTCTCTGCAGCGTATTTTTACTTTGGCTTCATTTGGGGCCTAGCGAAAATATTTTGAATCCTTAGTTACAGTGAACATTACTGCAGTAACAACTGTTCCCAATCAATGCGGACGATTACAAGATGATGAAGAATACAGCATTGCTGGAATTCTTCCTGTAGACATCTTATTAATGTGGTTTTTTAAATATTGTTTTTCTGTGTTATGACTACCAAAATGTAATCTGTGCGGCTCTTACCCGCTTTTCAGGCTGTGAAGGGAATGCTGGATAACCCTAACGAGCCCATCAGCGATCTCTCCTACTTCGACTGCATTGAAAGTGTGATGGAGAACTCCAAGGTAGAAACGTGCAGAAGCTGATTTTAAAACCGTAGCTAACTGGAAATACCCGCCTTGTTTTTTTTTTTCTTTGTTTTGTTTCAACCCAAATTATGCATTTTACTTTGAGGCTGTGCAGTCCTGATCCGTATTTGTCTTTTCACAGGTTCTCGGAGAGTCCATGGCAGGCATTTCTCAGAACTGCAAGACGGGGGACCTGCCAGCGTTTGGGGAGTGTGTCAGTGTAGCTTCCAAAGCCCTGTGTGGGTTGACTGAGGCTGCTGGTCAGGTAAGGCCCTGGTCAGCTGCGGACATCGTAGCTTTTCATGCAGGAATTCAGCTTTAAGATAAGATCACTGGCCATATACAATTTTCTTGCATAAGGAATTTGTCTTTTACATCCCCCAGCTTTTCTCCATGAGACACAGACACAGACGGGGAGAGAAGCTTGGGGTCAGAGCACAGGGTCAGCCATTGTACAGCGCAGTTGGGGTTCAGGGCCTTGCTCAGGGGCCCAACAGAGTATGATTCCTCTGCCGGCCGCAGGATACGACCTTCCAGCCACAGGCACAGATCCTGACCCACAGAGCCACCACACCGCCCCTTTATGAGTTTAATATTAAACTTTATACAGTACCTTTAAAACCAATTTCTTACAGTAAGGAAAACAATTAAAGGAGATAACAATGTAGTAAAAGAGGGCAGACATGGATATCTTTTAAGTAAAATCTTTTTTGAAGATTTGAGTCTGGATTTTAGGGAAGGTGACTCTCTGATATCCTTGGAGATAGAATTCCAGGGCTTTTGAGCATAGAATTTATTTTGTTCATTGCATTAAATTAATATATTAGTTTTGAGAAAGGTGTCTACAGCTCATTTTTTTCCTGTCACAGGCATGTTGTTTGTGAACCTCTGTTTACATTTTGCCCTGCTGTCCCCAGCATTAATGACAGGCCCTTTAGGAGGATTTAACCTTTAACCTTTAACCTTTAATATTAGGATTAATAAGAGACCCAGATTCAGTGATATCAACGGTATCCCTATTAAAAAGCAAGGCCTCTAGAAAAAGAAAAGCTGTTTAACTGGAAATAACTTAGACACGGCACTGCTGGAGTTCATGTTAATATGAGACCCCTCCCCTGAAATAGTATCCATATCTTCTCTAAGCTTGAGGGAGCATTTAAAAGCTTTCCAACAGGCAGGGCATTTTAAAGGGTGTTGTTAAAGGTGGATGGGTTAAGTTAATTTCTTTTATTCACATCAACGTAATTAAACAAACTGGGTTGTACTTACACTCTTTGGAAAAGGAAAACAAATTCCAATCCACTGAGCAACATTTTTATTATTGTTGCCTACCATGCTTTGCTCTAAATCTTTTCTTTTTCCATCACACTTTTCTTTTGGAGTATCAGCTTTTTACTTTGTCGTATTGCAGCTCATCCTGCTGTAATCCTGCATAGCTGTCTGGCAGTCTTTAGCATGAAGTGTGGAAACAAATTTGTGATATCTGTTGTCTGGCATATCTTTCACACAGCTCATACTGTAAATGGCGTGAACACGCGTTTCTTGCAGGTGAGGCTGTTCAAATTTCAGAACAAGGGAAGGGCATCGGTCTGGTTATTTCTCCAGCAGCCCCTGCCAACCCAAGAGCCTTACCTGGGGGAGGGGGGGGGTTCAGATTAAAAGGCTGCTTCTGGAGTTTTTTACTCCTTCCTTTGTGCTTTTTTTTTCTTTTAGGCTTCATATCTGGTTGGTGTGTCTGACCCCAACAGCCAGGCAGGCCATCAGGGCCTTGTGGATCCCATCCAGTTTGCACGTGCAAACCAGGCTATTCAGATGGCCTGTCAGAATCTGGTGGACCCAGCGAGCAGCCCCTCTCAGGTGAGTGGAAGGGGAGGTCCAGAAAGTATGAAGACCCATACAATGGAACTTTTCAGGACAATGTGTTCAAGTGGTTTAAAAGCCAAGATCAATAATACTGCACCTGTTTAGTCTTCTTAAAGAGCAGCACAGCCCAGCTCAAGGCACAGCAATTTGAACAGATGTATGTTCTTGGCAGGTGTTGTCTGCAGCCACTATTGTAGCCAAGCACACCTCCGCCTTGTGCAACGCCTGTCGCCTCGCCTCCTCCAAAACTGCCAATCCTGTGGCCAAGCGACACTTTGTGCAGTCAGCAAAGGAGGTGGCAAACAGCACCGCCAATCTTGTCAAAACAATCAAGGTAAGTGGTCTTCTAACGAAAGCCTACTGTGAAGTGACCACAGCGCTGCTGTGTACTGCTATACAATAGAGGATCTTTGTTTTGCTACTGTATGTTTTTGTTCAGTTTGTGGAATAACTCGACAAGCTGCCTTCTAACAGTTCCTCAGTTTTGTAACAGATTTCCTGAACGCTGCTGGAATTTAAAACAGCAAGATAGGATGTCGGGTTTAATGTCTGCTTTCTTTCACCTGTCGTGGCGTTGAAGTCCAATGTCCTTTGGAAGGTGTTAGACGTTAGCTTGTTGCAGTCATCACTGCATGTAGTTTATTTCTCTGATTCTTCAGAATAGTTCACTTCACCGTCACAGAGCAGTTTCCTTCGTGTGGTGATAAAAAGCAGAAGCGGCATGGTGAAGTTTTGGTTTCCTCAGGCTCTGGACGGGGATTTCTCAGAAGAGAACCGTGACAAATGCCGGGTTGCCACCACGCCCCTCATAGAGGCTGTGGAGAACCTGACGGCGTTCGCCTCCAATCCGGAATTCGCCAGCGTTCCGGCGCAGATCAGTAACGAGGTAACTGCATGTGTTTAGGACTCCCGACGAAAAATATTGTGTCTTTAGCTCCCCTTTAAATAAGGTAATGTTGATGGCAGCTGCAGTGATCGGGTGTTTTTACAGTCAAGTTTCCATTCCTTTGGCTAGACGATCGTTTTTCAGGTTCGGTAATTTGCTCTGCTTATTTACATAAAGTGAACTCAACGTGACTATTAGTGACCTCCATGCAAAACAAATTGATTTCACGGAGACTTTGAGGCCCCTTTGAGGCGGAACAGAAATCCTCTTAGTCTGGCCTACAAGAGATTTTTCTCTTTTTTTCTTTACACTGTTTTTCAAGTCTTGAGTCATCTTAGACTTGATTAGGAGTTATGATATACAGTATGCATCTTGTGAGCATCAACAGTTTACTCCTCTGCAAGGGTTGTCGACTTTTTTCTACAACAACATTTTGGTGAGAACAAACCAAGGTTGTCATTTAGCAGTCTTTAATTCGCATCGATCAACGTCTTCATATACTTGATGCCGACATACCTGAGCAGCCAAACGCAGCATTTTCAGATGATTTAATTTTCTTATCAAATTTCTCATCACCTGTTCCTTTCTACACTTCCAGTAAGTGTAAAAGGCAACTCTTTGTGCTTTGCATATCGGGTTTATGCATCTTAAAACATGAATAACATTTTGAGAGTAGATCACTGCAGAATTATTACTGCATAAAGAAAAACAGAGGGAAAGTGAAAAAGCAAAGTATATGAGAGTTTTTCACATGCATGTTTTGTTTTTGTTTAAAAGGTTGTAAAGGTATTGGTTGTTTGCCTTTTTTTATCTCAAACAGCTATAAAAAGCCAGTCTGCCACGTATTTTGTGTGCATTTTATACAAGAGTATAAACTTTAGACAATCTGAAGAGTATAATGAGAAACGTATAATCTTGAAGTTGTTAACATGATTATTAGCAGGTAAATGAAAAAAATATCTGAGAAATGCGGTATTTGGTTTTTAGCCGCTTGTCAGGGTTTTATGCATTGTATGGGATTTAGTAGTTATCCCAGTAATTTACATCGCTTCACCCAAGCCAAGAGATTTTCCAGTGCTTTAGAATTGGCACAAGTACTTTGAATATATTGTATGTTCTGTGTTAAGTGTAATATAAACAAGATTTACTATAATTTATGAAAAATGCTTGATCCTTTAATTTACCATTTAATTTGCCTTTGTTGTAGCCATATACAGTACTTTGTTGTATCATTTTGAGTGATCTTTAGAGAAAGTTTTTAACTACATCAGCTTCATAGCAAGTTGCAATCCCCAGCAGTGTTTGATGTATAACATACAGAGATTGTCCTATTTCAGAGGTAAGGTTTGATGATGTATTTCAATCCTCTATAAACACTTTGTAGGGGTCAGCAGCCCAAGAGCCAATCCTGCGGTCTGCTAGGGCCATGCTGGACAGCTCAGCAAACCTCATAAAGACCGCCCGCTCTCTGGTCATCAACCCAAAGGATCCACCAACCTGGTCAATTCTTGCTGGCCACTCTCGGACAGTGTCAGACTCTATCAAGAGCCTGATCACATCCATCAGGTCAGTCTACTGCCTTTTCTACATTGTGTAAATGTTTACAAAAATAAAATGCAGCATTAATTTGGGCTACATTTCTATGCAGTTTACTTGTTCAAGCTAACCTGTTCTTCCCAGTGGCATTTCTGGGTTTTCATTCTTGGAGAATATATATCAGACCTTTTAGGAGTTGCTTTGTTAAAGAAGCAGAACACTTCTTTGGGCAGTTGTCTAAAACAGCGCTTCTGTGCCCTGCTCCTGATGGCCCTAGTGACTTGTGTTGCTCGGTTGGGTTCCAGTGTAATGATGATAAATCAAGAGAACAAAGTCTGGGAATCTCTAACTATAACATTCATGCAGCTCTGGTGTCAGGGACAGGCAATCTGCCTACTCGATTCTTATTGTGTACATGCCATTCCGCTTCTGTAGTTCTTGAAGTGCAAGCAATACCAAAGCTGCAGAAGTTAAGGATCCAAGTTCATTTAGGCTTAGCAGGGTCCAGAGTAGATGAACCACTCAAGGCCCAAGCACACGTTGAGCTCTGCGAGTTCAATTTTGAGCCCGCATTGTGCCTCTAGCCGACACTGACTAGGATCCCTCAGGCGGCAGTGCACAGGATGAGCAATAGGGGGCAGTGCTGCCTGTGAAGTGCTGAAAGGCAAGTGGCTCCAAGATGAGCACGTTGGAGGAGTCTGCCTGCACTTCCTCATTCTCCCCTGTGAGGAGTCATGAGAATGACAGTGAAGATCAGAGCAGAGATCAATGCAATTGGGAAAATCAAAGCAGTTGGGTCCTACGCTGGCGATTCTAATATACACATTGAAGTCTTAGTTGCATTAGTGCTGGCATTTTCTGTAGCTTGCTTTTTAGTGTAAACTGTAGTGTACTGCCGCAGAACTGCCTTACAACCCCTATGTTGCCTTTGCTCTGTGTAAATTGTCATTTCAGCATCTCAGCATAAACAGCCCATCTATCACTTGTCTAAAGCCAGCATTGCCACATCCTCCAAGATGGATTTATGCTTTGGACTCCAGATGTTAAATAGCCACAGGGAATAGCGCCACACTGTCCCCTATTTCATTTATCAGTGCAATATCTGAACTAGTTTACAGGAGGCTTGCTTTTCAAGAGTCACAAGCAAACAACTCCTTGCCCAACCTACAGCAACCTTCTAAACCTGCAGTGCTCCTTCCCCTCAGCTGGCTACACTGCCAAGTAATGCCAGATTGTCAAGACTCTGAGATACATAATCATGTTATTAATTTGGCTGCCTCTTTCTCCCCAAAGCAATTTGCACCTGTACTGATTTATACAGCTGGGCGTTGTCATTAAGCACAAGTGTACAACAGCAGTGCCACATGGGATTTAAAACCACAGCCTTCCAGAACCTACAGATCAAGGCCATAACCCTAACCACAACTCTGCACCATTTCTTACAAGTGTGGCAAACATCTCTGCATGCAAAAGCAACCTCACAGCCCCTACAGACCCATCTCGCAGCATGATAATGGAACTAAAGAGCAAGCAAAAGAAACCTCTTGTTCTTCATCCAGGGATAAAGCTCCAGGACAGCGCGAATGTGACTACTCCATCGACAACATTAATAAATGCATTCGGGATATTGAGCAAGCTTCTCTAGCTGCTGTGAGCCAGAATCTGCCTACGAGAGATGACATTTCCTTGGAGGTAATCAACATCAGAAGTCACCTGGAACTTCCAGTAGCACTTTAATCTGTTGTTTTCTTATTTTGCATTACCTCTTATTTTTGAGGGAGACAGTTTTATCATGACTGTATTTTGATGTTGGGATATGGTTGCTAATGAAAGTGTACATTTTCAACTTATTTGACAGTTGTAAAAAATTAAAATTTAAACGTGGATTTAGTTTCATTATTAGTAAAAGTGTTGTTTTTTCTTGCTACTTAGATTCATTATAGCTTTCTCTTCCTTTAAATTCATTGCAGCTACTGTTTTTTTCCCTTCAACTGGGTTATGCCATTTAGTATATGCTTATCTTTTTAATCTAACAGTTTTATAAAAATGTAAGGCTTTTTGTCATCAGTTCATATTGCCATGTTGCTCTATAGTGTTTAAACTAAGCAAATGAGCAAACGTTGACGTTTTCAGTACTGTAGTTATTGATTGCAGTTGTGCAATTTCCTGTCCCATAAGCCTTTGCAAGACCAGTTGACATCTGCAGTGCAGGAGATTGGACATCTCATTGATCCCATATCTACAGCAGCTAGAGGAGAGGCTGCCCAGCTGGGACACAAGGTACATTAAAATGAAGTGGGATTAATATAGTGATCATCAAAAGCAACATTTTTATCCATGGTATTATGGTTTTTAAAGAATAAAATGGAAGGATTTTGAATATTCATCACATGTTTTTTTTTCCATTCATGACTAACCATGATGCACTAAAGAGACTTTGTTGCAAAAACAATAAATCACCTTGTTAGTGAGAGTCGATTGGGCACAGGTACTGAGGTTATTTTAACCTGTTGAGTGTCAACCCTGGTGAAAATCAAAATGGAAAAATGCAGATAGCAGTCAATAGGCCTCATTTATCAAGTGAAGAGTGTCTTCATGGAATATTGGAGGCTGGACTAAGTCACATTGGGTAAACACCCTAACTGTTGTGCGTACTGTTCAAGTCATTTCAGATGCTAATAAGTTTTACTTGAGTTTAGATGCTTTATATGCCAGATATGCAAGTGTAAGTGCATGCTTTTTGTATTAAATTTAAGATCTAATATAGACTTTTATAAATGTAGACCGATATGAAGTTTATACAGTATTAATTGTATTACTGTATTACTAATTAGTGGTTTGTGATTGTTTCATCACTGTTTAACGTCTTGTGGGCAAAAGAAGGAGGAACCTTCAAAAATCAGAAACACAATGAACTTTGATGAAAAATATTTTGATAAAAATAGAGCAGCACTAGTCCAAGTGCCTTAAGCTATTCAAATGAGCTCTAATGAAAAATGAACTTTAAGTTGTTTTGAAACAAGCTGATTTTCCTCGCTGCTCTGACTCCAGTTTCAGTTCTGTTGAGTGGGCTGAGCAACGTGTTCTTCTTTCCAGGTCACGCAGCTAGCTAGTTACTTTGAGCCTCTAATCCTGGCTTCTGTGGGTGTGGCGTCCAAGATCTTGGATCACCAGCAGCAGATGACTGTGCTTGACCAAACTAAGACCCTGGCTGAGTCTGCTCTGCAGATGCTGTACGCTGCCAAAGAAGGAGGGGGAAACCCAAAGGTACTGTATTGTTGGAACAGAGCTGATCTGAGTACCGAACCCAACCATTTCCTGTAGATTGATGCACATTATTTAACTGTAAGGATGTACTGTAAAACAAAACCTGTTGAATCCATTGGAATTACATATTCCCTTGTGATTGCTTGTGCAGTGTACTGGAGTCATTTATTGACTCAATTGCTTGAGGTTGTTTAAACCACAGATAACGACAATTGTGAGTACCTTGACCAGTTCTCCATTGCATTATTGGAACATCTCAATCTGTTTATATCTTTATCAAGCCTGAGCAAATGTCTTTCTGTACTAAGATGATGTTAGCACTGATAGTACACTGTTACTGCAATGGCTGGCGAAAGGCATAACACCTTACTGGAAACCTTACTTTCTTCTAAAACCCTATTGGTCATGTTGTACCCATGCCCTCCTATACAAGTCAAAGTTATGCAACCGGCTCTAAAGAGTTCGGAGGCCCATGTGAGCAGTGGTCAAGGTGTTTTGCTCCCTCTTGTGGTGCAGGCAGCTCACACCCATGACGCCATCGCCGAGGCGGCTCAGCTGATGAAGGAGGCTGTCGATGACATCATGGTCACGCTGAATGAAGCAGCCAGTGAAGTGGGAATGGTTGGGGGAATGGTGGACTCCATCGCAGAGGCCATGGGCAGAGTGAGTGTGCTCTGAAAATGTTAGATCAAAATACAAATTTTTAGTTCGTTGTTCAATGGTTCTGTCAAAGGTCATCTTAATTTGACTTTCCTATGGCAGATAAGATGCTGTTGCACCCAATAAAAACTTTCCCAATCGATGAGATGATCATCTTGTTTATAATTCTTTAGAAAGACATTTTATTTGTTGTTTAGATGCATGTGTTTTTGCCAGTGCTTGACAACGTGTAGGTTTTGCTGTGAGAAAAGACCAAACCTTGCACAATTAAGGCATCCTCTATGTGTCCAATTACAGTACGTGGTGGCATTTGATTTTCATCTTAATAAATGCACCGATGCTTTTAGTACATAGTCAGGGTTTCATTTTAAACCACACCCCTGTGGTTTTTCAAGTCACAAATTTCTGTATTGCTTTAAAAAGTCAATATACTGTAAAAGTTACTGCTGACCTTTAACATAAGTTATCATAATGCTGTTGGAATGTTTTTGAAAGGATTTCAATTTGTGTACTGTTTTTATGGTGAAATAACTATGTACATTGGTTAGTACTATTGTGTTGATTTGTTTGTAAAATTTAGTTATGTCTTTAAAGTGCCTTTTTAAAAACAAATGTCTGAACAGACACAGTTTAATGTTCCCAGAGCCATTGGGATTTGGCTAAGATCCAGACCAAAAGGGTTTCCTGTTATAAATGTCAAGTAACATTTCTTTTCTCCACCACGTTAGTCAGATTTTTATGTGGTTTAAAAAGTTATTGTATGTGAAGGGACTTAACTGTCCATTGATATTTCATATCCTGTATTAACAGCAAAAATACTGTTTGCAGACCTTAAAAATGAAGTCCTTGCACTAATGTATAACCATAGGCATTCATGCAATTACATTCTCAGATTTCAGATTTGTTGGAGTGGTAGGTATTTTCAAAATTGTTTTCAAGTTTATTTTCTTACTTTCTTTGTTATTGTGTTGCTTATGTGTGCCATTTGCTGGAGGTAAGCCAATGTTGATCCTGCGAGAGGGTGCACCATTGTGAAATTTGTGTGCACAGTCTACTTTAGCTGCCTTTGATGGACAGTATTGAAGTGCATGTCTTCACTGCCCCTCCTGTTCCCTAGCTGGATGAGGGGACACTCCCGGAACCAGAAGGTTCATTTGTGGACTATCAGACGACCATGGTGAAATACTCCAAGGCAATAGCTGTCACTGCACAGGAAATGGTGAGGGGAACATTTTATGCTAAGTAAATTTTTTCACGTTTACAATCATCTGCTACTGTATGTAGCAAAGACCATTTATTCAAAGTTTCCGAAATAAGAAGTACAGTTCATTTTCAAGCCAGGGGCACAGTGACAGGGAGTAACTTGTCTGTTTCGGTCTCGTCCAGATGACGAAGTCTGTGACCAGCCCAGAGGAGCTGGGGGGGCTGGCCTCTCAGGTGACCACAGACTATGGGCACCTGGCCCACCAGGGTCGCCTCGCTGCCGCCACCGCGGAACCTGAAGAGGTAAGGAGCCTCTTCTCACTTGAGTCGAAGCTGGTCCTGCCCAAGTACATTCTAACTCCATCTGAATTCTGCTGGTGAGTGGTATAAACCCTGATAAACAAGGTAATACAATCATTCCTTGTGTTACCTTTCTACCTTACTATGGGGTAATACAATAATTCCTCTACTGCTTTTCTACTGCACAGGATCTGAAACTGTACAGTAGAAAGTACAGAAATGATTGCAGCCCCAGTATTAATTTTCACCTTCTTAGCTGTAGCCTACAACAATGATGCAGTGCTCCACAATGTCCTGTATTCCAATCATTTCTAACTAGATAACTCTTGAGCTCTTGTCTTGCATTTTATTGCCTTCGTTTAGGCCAAACGAACGTGATCCGTAATCATCACAAACCCCTCTGTGGATATTATTCCTGTCTCCTTCTCCAGTGTGCACATTCCCACTCTCACAAGAATATGAGTTGAATCACTTCCACCAACCACGATTTACAGTAGGCAGTGAGAAGATTCCGACTGCTTCAATTTAATCCAATTTAGATTATTTTTCTTTTTGGTTCTAGATCTAACAGATTTCACATTCTGACACATCTCATAGGTGATGCAACTAACACCACTACAGCCTGCTTAATTATGACATTGATGGAATGGAATCTGTATTTGATGGTGTAAAAGCTATAATGCTTCATCTTCAAGCTGTCATTGATACACTTATCACCAGTCTGCTTTAATGTCTCATCTTCTTAGTGACTTCATATTTTCAAACCCCAAAGCATAACATTGCCGCTGCTGCAATGATCCACACATTTTGAAATCTGAGTTCAGAAAATCTGTGTGAATTCCGAAAATGATACAGTTGGTTTATGCAATTCAGTGTTTTAAGGTTCAGAATATATGCAAAGGAGGTCTGTATTTTTGTGTCTTGTAATTTATCATTAGAGGAGTGTACAAACTTGTGTGCCAGAGGCCAGATTAAGATATAACCCTCTTTTTTTAGTTTTTTGAGCCGTTCCAGATATAACTAGAGCTGTTTTCTAAGCACACAATAAGGAGAAGCCTCCCATGGAGACTCCACTCACGCGCCGAGCTGTTTGTCATTCCAGATCGGGTTCCAGATCAAGACGCGCGTGCAGGAGCTGGGGCACGGCTGTATCTTCCTGGTTCAGAAAGCGGGGGCCCTACAAATCAGCCCCACAGACAGCTTCACCAAGAGAGAGCTCATCGAGTGTGCCCGAGCTGTCACCGAGAAGGTGGGGCTGCAACCTGTTAGAGGGATGACTCGTCATTAGCACAAAATAGCCGTCATGCATGTTTAATGTCATCAGTACTAATTTTTGGTATGACCTCACACCTGGACTGCATATTACAAAAGTTAAGATAGACCCCTTGAGCTGGATTACAATACGATCATATGAACTAAAACTTAAATGCAGCAGGAAATGTGCGGTTCATTGGTTTTGATCAAATACTTAATGTTTTTTATATCGATACTGGAACAGTATTTTTTCTAGTTTTTGTTAATGTAACTATACAGTCAAGACACTTCCCACCATGAAACATCGGATGCTGTATTTTCTCAGTATAAAAATGAGGATCCGCTGAATTAGAAGCAATGAACACTGTGGTAAAGATGCTAGTTTCATGTGGGTTCCTTTGTACTTTGAACAGTTTTTGACTTCTGTGAAGTTTCACATGGCAGGCTTCCTTATTCCTTGAACTCTGCAGTTACCAGGACAGCTTTGGAAAGTGAATCCAGATGGCAGGGCTATGTGAGGTCAGGCACTTCCAGTCCTAGGGAAACAGCGCAAGCTTGGAAAATGATGATTTGTTAATAGGGAGAACAACTTTTTCCATGCAATCTAGAAAAAAAAAACCACCCTTGTCTTGCTGTTTGGATTTGCATACCACCAAGTATTGCACACCTACTGTATCTGTACCCATGATTCGGCAAAATAAGCTTCCAAAATAAGTGCTGAGAGAAGCAGGAGATGGAACGTCCCGCCACCCTGCTGTGTCCACTCAACAGTGCTGCTGACTTCATTGCATTAGATGGGGAAATGCAACTTGACCTTTTTAGGCACATTCATACAGTTTCAAAGCCACGTATTCAAAACTTGTACAAATTTAAGGAGGGTTATGAGGAAACCATTCTCAGTTTAGGCAAGGTGTAGTGGACTGAAAAGCTAAGTATTTAAAACGTAAGATTTTTTTCCATGTTCTCTCCAGCAGTCCTCCATTCGGAATACAGCTTGGGCATGTATCTGCATTTCTGATTAAAACAGGGATGTTTTTCATAACTTATATTGGACAATTCCCTGTTAAAGCAAGAGGTTAGGAAGCAGTGAATGTTGATTGATTTGTATTAGGGGGGCTCCAACGTTTGTTTGTTTTTATGAAAGACGTTTGACGGGATCTATAAATAAGCTTTAAAGCTCTTCGTGTTATAATTTGCAATCATTGGAACCCGTTTTCTTTAAAGAAAATACCTAGCATAAGGTTCCCTATCAAAACATATATATTTCCTCTTCTTTAAACCAAAGCTCTCTTCAGTAGCTTTTCTTGTTCTCAATTAGAAGCACCTACTTTTCTCTCGCTTAGTTCTGCTCTGTGGTTTACCTCATTCTCAGCCTGTGTTAACATGAATAATTTGAAGATTTGTATGTAAGAAGAATTGAACCTTGAAGCTCATTTTGATTTATTTTTCATTTGTGGGTTACTCCAGTCGGTTGTCAAGAGTGACACAGTGCTTTTCTACGGTCTGTCTGAACTGCTTTGTTCCACAAATTCACAAAATGAATGAATGTTTGTACAGCCAACTTAACACTACTGAATGTTCATCCTTTTCCTTAAATACTACTCCTAATGCCTTCACTGATAGTTCCTTCATGTCTTCCATTACATTTTTAATTTTTTCTGTTTTAAGTACACCTTTGAATTTTCCATTCTGCTTATAGTTCTGTTATATTTTTTTCATGAATTTAACTTTAAATAGAACTTATTGTAAATTCAAATTATATTTCATCTAGAGTATTTTACCATATAATTTGATTTTATATCACTCACGTACTTGTGAGAAGGTTTCAATAAGCAGTTTTCCTCTACATTTAGTAAGTGGTTTACAGTACATGCCTTGTACAGAAGCAGGAAACTGGAGGTGTTAGGTGGCTTTGTGATGTGCAGAAGTAAAGGATAAGAAGGTGTTTGGGAAGACAACACACAAATGCGAACTACAAGTCTGCACGTCTGTCTTCCCCTTTTACAGACCTTGATGAGCTTTTACAGCTGAAAGGCTGATGTCATGGACTGTCTCCAGATTTCCTCTGCTCCCTTCCTCAGGTTTCCATGGTCCTGTCTGCACTGCAGGCCGGGAATAAAGGCACACAGGCCTGCATCACAGCCGCCAGCGCAGTCTCTGGCATCATCGCCGACCTGGACACCACCATCATGTTTGCCTCCGCAGGCACGCTCAATTCCGAGAACGAGGAGTCGTTTGCAGACCACAGGTGAGGATGTCCGATGTGGTGGTGACTGTTAAGCCTCTAATGGTCTTGTTTAGGCCAGCCATATTAGTTCTTAGCTTATAGGACTAGCACGGTTTTTACTGCCTTTGCCTCTTGACAGATGGTTTTGTCCAGTTATTAAGTTAAATCTCCAGATCAAAGGCATTAGAGAAGGAATGGCTAAAACATGTCTCTCTGTGTCTGTCACTTGGATATAAAAGCTTTTTTTCAATACAGCGTTGATTGATTGATTTATTTTTTGGTGCTTTCCGACCGTTACTGCATGGCTGAGAGCTAATCTCAAAGGTGGAAACTGCTTCTTTGGTATAAAAATCATATTTTAAAGGTAGACTGCAGATGAGACCCCCCTGTTGTTTTCAGATAAAGGTGAGTTTTCAATTTATGGCATTTGTTGTAAGGCTCGTTAAGCGTTGACTTGTTTTTACACAGAGAAAACATCTTGAAGACTGCCAAGGCTTTGGTTGAAGACACCAAAATGCTGGTGGCGGGTGCTGCTTCCAGTCAGGACAAACTGGCGCAGGCTGCCCAGTCGTCCGCCAAAACCATAACCCAGTTGACGGACGTGGTGAAGCTCGGCGCGGCCAGCATCGGCTCGGATGACCCGGAAACACAAGTAATATGAGCAGGATGGGGCTCCAAGAGCCGTGAGAGCTCTCTGCCGAGGTCCCCGTACGATTAAAGCCGCGTACCTGTGCTGCTCGTTTCTCCAGGTGGTGCTGATCAATGCGGTGAAGGACGTCGCCAAGGCTCTGGCGGAGCTGATTGGCGCCACGAAGAGCGCTGCAGGAAAGCCAGCCGACGACCCGTCCATGTACCAGCTGAAGAGCGCTGCCAAGGTACCGCCCAGGGGCAGGACGTCGTCTTCTTGGGGCTGTTGTCATCAGCAGACTGGGGGGAATGGAAAATGCATTCTGTGGCTTTCTGGGAGCAGCACCACAGGATCGCAAGTGTTTGATCTTTCTACCTTCGTCACGGCGTTCTCTCTAGCGGCTCGTACCTGAGCTGTCGGTGCACTTGGTCCCTTAGGTCCCATTTTGTCTTTCGCTCTTGAATTTAAGTGTTTTATATGAAGAGCATCAAGAAGAATATCATTAATGCCCCTTTGAAAACAAGCACATCCCTCTTTCTTATAGTCATATACTCCCGATCCGGATTTCTATACAGGAGCTCAATCTGATCACTCTTCCTCAGGATTGGCATCCCTTGTGTTCTTTTCATGAGGGTAACAGTGAAAGCTCCTTGTATTTGAGAGGAAGAAAAGTAGCAGCTCATAGTAGAAATTATAGGAAATCCCTATTTTCTTTTGTTTTTTTAACTTCTTTCAATATCGCTGGGAATTATTTTTAGACATTAAATGATGTGCATAAAAGTTTTACTAAGGCCTTTCGAAGTTCTGAAGCCTTGCCTTACATTATAAAGGGTTCTGTACAATAATATAATCTGCCCCTAGTTATACAAAGGCACAAGAATCACGGCCACAGGACATGGGAGTGCTCCTGTTTCAGATACGAACATTAAAGACATCCTGGTGAGCAGTTAGTTGAAGGCATGTGGTGTGCATACCAAAAACCCCTTAAGGTTTAATAATATAAAACCTTTCATATGCACGTTCTAATCTCATCACTGGTAAGAGATTTTTCACCTCTGTACCCTAAAATCTAGCGGTTCAGCTTCCCACGTTGTATCCTGCATGCAGTCATGTAGAGTTTTCAACCTTAATTTAACCAAATCATTGTGATCTACAGGTTCACTATTCACATAACCTGCTTTCATTTTACTCCCGTCCCTCAAGGAAGTGGTGCCAGTATTTCTGTGCCACGTGGAAGTTCTTGTTTGCTCTGGTGTGTCACTTTTTAATGGCAAACTGATGCCTGCTCCTGGTTCCCTGTGTATTAGGTTTAACTGCCAATTCAAAGAAGATAAGTGTTCTGTACTCCGTGCCACCAGCAAAGAGCCGCCTTGCAGCTCATCAACTTTGTAATCCGCCAGAGATTAAAAGCCCGTTTCCTGTACCGTTCAGGTAATGGTGACGAATGTCACTTCGCTTTTGAAGACGGTGAAGGCTGTGGAGGACGAAGCCACTCGGGGTACGAGAGCTCTTGAGGCCACCATTGAATGCATCAAACAGGAGCTGACGGTAATGCGCTCAGAGCACTTATGCATCCTTGCAGCATAACCCAAGACCTAGCGCAAACGAAAGCTGATTTATGTGTGCTCATCTGACTCATCCCAGCTCCGTCGGGGATCTATACAAACTTCATTTACCTCTGTAAAGCATCTTGAAGTACCTGCCGCCATCTGGCTATACTCCCTATGAATTGCAGCAGCAGCTCTAGCGAGTTGTTTGTCAGGATCTGCGCGGTGAAGAAATCAACTCGCAAATCTTCATCGCCCCTGCAGATTTGTTGCTATCCTTTGTCAGTGTCGCTTCAAAGCAAAGTCTGGGTCTTTTACAATAATGCTTTTCAAGTAGTGCATGGAAGTGCAGTAACTGTCGTTGCATCTACCAGAGCTTGGTAAAGAGCAGCGCATCAGCGATAACTTACTGTAACCAAGTGGAAGCCTTCTTCGGTCTGAATAGTCATAGTACTGTAAGTGGTATTGTGTAACTAAATTGTTCTAAGAACATGGCGCACCTCTTTTTTAATTGTATATGGAGTGTAACTATGCATGTTTTGAAAGGGTAGAGGAGAACTGCATTTTTTTTATTTCTGAAAACAAAACGCCTCATAATCGCGGTAGACGCTGTCATGTGCCTTTTCAAAGCAGTGAGCCTATTGCTCTGCCTCTGCAGGTGTTCCAGTCGAAGGAGGTGCCAGAGAGAACATCCACGCCTGAGGACTTCATCCGCATGACAAAGGGCATCACCACGGCAACGGCCAAAGCCGTGGCCGCCGGAAACTCGGCGCGGCAGGAGGATGTGATCTCCACCGCAAACCTGAGCCGCAAGGCCATTTCAGACATGCTGCTGACCTGCAAGGTGAGAGCCCCCCCTCACTCCACAGCCGCACTTCGTGAAGTTCTAGTGGACCCTCGGTGCCGGTCTGCCCCGCCTAAAATATAAACCACCGAGCGTTCGAACTCCCTCCGTCCGGGGTAAAATAGAACTTGTTGTGGGTGGTGCTTTCCACGTTTTGAGGAACATAAACTTACAGTACAAGCAAGAGAAATGCCATTGGGCCCAAGATTTGCCCATTTTCTAGTTATAGTAGAAGCTAATTGATTTAAGGATCTCATCCAGCTGTTTCTTGAAGGAGACTAGGATACCAGTTACAACTTCTCTAGACCCCCACCACATTATTGGTAGCGAGGTTCCTCCTCTTCTTGCTTTTAAGTGAAAGTCCGTGTGGTTTCCTCTATTGTCCTCTGGTTCATCTTTCGTTGCTCATTCTGAAGAGGTCTGTTGAGTTGGCTTTATTAGTCCCCTTGGCAACTGGTATGGGGTTTCCTTCTAGTCATTTCTCTTCAAGACTAAACAGGTTTAGAGGTAACCTTGTGAATGGTTGAAAGAAAACAAATGGAGGCATATTTGGATGTAAACCTTAGAAAAGCTACCAAAAAGATGTGGTTGTGCTGTGGTCAAAATATCCAAGCATCTACCAGGCAGGCTGTAAAGATCATGATATAGACTCATCAGAATACCTTGAAAAGCCTGTCCATGGACCCGCTGCTGAAAAATAAAATTAATTTCTTCTGGAAAGCAAACTTTAATTGTGGACTGTGTGATTCTTAAGGGTTTATCGGTTTAATCTTGGTGCTTTTATTTCATTTAGTCTTAAAATGTTTCTTTTCAATTGATAGGTAAATTCTTTGTTTTTGCATTTAGGTCTGTTGCTTTATGAGTTAAAGACTCGTAAATGACTTTGTACAGTACACTCACCTTTTCAGGTTCTGAAAAAAGGCAATCTGCCTTAAACCATTGGAAAGGGGGCCAACATCAATTTCCTAAAAAATCCCAATATTCTCTCATGTTTGTCAGATTGAATTCCATTGTAGTGAAAGCAGGTTTAATTCAGCTGCTGCACTTCATTTCTGTCAGAAGCGGTTGATTCAGGAATGTCAACTATCCTTAAAGTTGTATAGTGCATCTCGGGCTGCAAAAAAAGCACATTCACATAATGGCTTTGTGATTCTTCACTCTGTTTCCATAAAAATAATAGGCACTCATTCAGAGCAGATGCTAAGCCCAGGTTTAACTAGGCTGGGCCTGGCTCTCGTCACTAGGGATTTCCTGAGCAGAAGTGCTCCACCTGAGTACAGCTGATGAATGTGGGATTGGTTAGCCAGGTCTCTCGCTACAGCAGTGACGCGCTACTCCCCTTGCTTGCAGCATGTCAAATGACACATGGCTCTGACTGTGGGCCTGTTGGAGGAGCCTGTCTAGGAGTCTCATTGCATCATAAGGAAATGACAATTCCAAGTGTTTTATGCATCTGAGGGGAAATGCACTGCGCTGCTTTGGGTAATTCTCAGCAGGGTGCTTAACGCATACAAAAAAATCTCTCATTCTGACTGCTCATACTGGGTGTGTCTTCCTGTAATTCCAGCAAGCTGCCTGTCACCAGGAGGTGAGCGAGGAAGTGAGAAACCGGGCACTTCATTTTGGCACGGAGTGTACCGTGGGCTACGTAGAGCTTCTGGAACATGTGCTGGTGGTAGGCAGATGAGGGGCATGGATTTGCCCCTTTTTAAAAAAAAATCGGATCTGATCTGAGTCTCTGATTTTTTTTTTCCCCCGTTTTTATTTTACGTGGTGATCTGAGCAAGGTCAGACTGTGGGGGTTTGTCCCCTTTCTCCTCCTGTGCAGGTCCTTCAGAAACCCACCCCTGAGCTGAAGCAGCAGCTGGCGGTGTTCTCCAAGCGCGTGGCGGGAGCTGTCACCGAGCTCATTCAGGCAGCAGAGGCCATGAAAGGTGAGCGCACTGTGGCCAGCCAGAGCAACAGGAAACTTTGTCACTGACCTCCTATACACCCGGAGCCTGACATTACTGATGTATCTTGAGCTCTTAAGAATTAAGATTGATTCTGACTGCTAGTTGTCTCCCTTTGTGAATTTTTTTCTTCCCATTTCGGCTATTAGTGCATAGAAAGGTTGTTTTTAAAACCAGTACCATGTGGCTGTGATGTAGTTTACATTCTCTCTATATGACATTGTAATGTTATTTTTTTCTTAATTGTAGTTTTAAGGCTAATTCTTACTCCTCGTGGTTCTGATTTAACGTCACAGGAAAGTGGTTTTCGCTTTGGCTTAATGCGGTACTGGCTCTTCTTTCATACTGATCATTTCCCCCTATTACTGCAATGGCATGAGCCTAGCAAATGGCACGGGATCTCCCTGTAGTAATGCACATTGTTTTTTCTTTTGCCTCAGATGGAGGTAAGTTCAAATTCTGCCGTGCCGTTCTTGCAGATCGTCTTTCCTGGACAGAAGAGGCAGTGGGGGGGAGGGTGCAAGTTTTTGTTCCCTCAGGCACAACATAATCTAAAAAAAACAACCATTCCATCTGTTTTTGCAAGCTGTTCACAATGGCCACACTCTGAGCCCACTTTAAAGTCTGTATTGACTGTAGAACTGTTTACAATCCATATAGCAATTCTTTTTTTGTTAAAGCTTACATTTTCATAAGTGGAAAGAGTAAAAAATGTAGAACCTTTACTCGTACATGAGAAGACATTTGGACGTGTAACATGACTATGGTGGTGATTCTTGTGGATTCCTTTGTAAATGTCGTATGTCCTTTACTGTATGTCTGTATTGTGCAAGTTCTGTCTTTTATTTTGGATGTGTTTGCACGCTTAGAAATCTGAGCTCTTGGCTGAGGACCAGTTCTCACTGTTCTTTGATATCCTTTCCAGGTAACGAATGGGTGGACCCAGAAGACCCCACTGTCATCGCCGAGACGGAGCTGCTGGGGGCGGCAGCTTCTATAGAGGCCGCAGCTAAGAAGCTGGAGCAGCTGAAGCCCAGGGCCAAGCCTAAGGTATGACACCAATACGTTCTGCCGTTGTCCTGAACCTGTGTTTGGCTCTGTACACGTTTCCTGCACATCTTTTTGTTCAGAAATTGCTGAAACAAAAAGAGACACGCCCTATAGTGAAAGAAGATTTAACTTTCCATGCGCAGCGGATCATTTTAACATCCTGGATGTACTGTACCGCCAAGTCCGTCCCCACCTAGTATGCTAGAGAAATAGTGGTGTGTGTTGTACAGGGATTACATTTACAGTATGTTGTAACTCTGCTCAGCTGCACATTTCTGTTTGTTGTTTTTCTGAATTAAGGGGAAGAAGTGCAAGATGCTCTTGAATGAAAGGGCAATCGATGTTAAAAGACTCAGTCAGTCCCACTTCACTTTATAGATATAAGCTAACAGACTGCTACGATAAAATTCGTTTTTCTGCTTTCACGTGTTAAATAGTTGAATATAATCTAATATAATTTAGGTGCACCTTTCCATTTTTCATCTTTTACATTGGAGCTGCTAAAGGCATCTCTTAGATTTACCCTCATTTTTGTCGAGTCAAAAAAAGAAGCAATCTTTTTTTCTCTACGTTTTTTTTCCAGACATAGCCCTGTCTGTTGAAGCATCCCCAAAACTAAAAGGATCCTTTTGTCATTGGCTATAGTTGTGGTGAGGGGGGTGTCTGGAAAAATGCCCTCTTGTCAGGTGCAAACTGTATGGGTGTGTAGAGTTGTCTTACTCTGACATTTTGAGTTAGTTGGTCCCACTGGTGTTTATCTGGAGAAAGGACTGTTTCCACAGGGTGAAATTTACTTTTTGTGAACTGTCTATATTTGACTGACCTTACAGTATACCAAAGCAAACAGCCATAAGTGTCACACAGTCCTGCAGATTTGAGATGGAGCCGGTTTACGTCTTGCAGGGTTTTTGTCCCATGTCTTTGTGGTGATAACTGCAGTGAAGAGGCAATTGAGATGTCAGTAACACAATTCACAAAGTCAGGGCGATCACTCATCCTTTGATCCTGAACCCACCCCTCCCCAGTCTTCTGTCTCCCTGCATTAGATGTTTTTCTTCAGTAGCAGCATGTCCCACTGTTGTTTTTCAAGCTGATTTTAAACCTGGAAGCCTTCTCTGCAGGGCTCTGTCTGATATGTTTGATATATTAGGTTGTTATTCAATCCAACTATATATCAAACATATTCCTACAGTGTCCCGCCCTGTCTCCAGACACTTGTGCTTTGTGTATACTGTTAAAGTGTTTCATGAACATGTGTGTCAGAGCCTATAGATATACAGGAACATGGATATTTATTTTTTTCCATCTGCTCTTGGGAATTTTAATTCTGCAGTATATGAGTTGCGTGGGAACCCTTTCTTTCAAGATGTGAGTTTAAGATGTATATACAGGATTGTGACACAGTTTGAAGACTGTTGTTAGTTCAAAAACAGATTTCTCGTTATCAAAATGGTGGCACTCCAAATTAAAGCCTAAATATTTATTTTAATCCTCCATGTATGAGCAAGTCCAAAATTCTAAAACGAGGTCGCAAAGTGAAGAGATGCGCTTGTTTTGAAACATTAATGCAGCAACAGAGCTAAAGTCGAGTTTCACTTTCTGCTCCTCAGATCTCCACAAGATGTCTCCCTTTTTAAAGTCATCTCATGTTAGTGCAAAAAGGACTGTGAAGTCCTTATCGTCATAAGTTTGTACAGTAAATTTTACAGTCATTTCAGTCAAACACTGTTAACATGGATGGGTTGACTGATAAGCACTCCATTCTTTAGGTGCAAAAGTATTCATTTCACCATCTGATGTAAAAATGACTGGGATGCAATAACTTTGTCCACCAATGTCAACAAAGGCGTTGCTGGAATATTTTGTACTCTTTTTCAAAATACATACAGTAAAATTGCTCAGCCATGTTGGCAGACCCTGGGCTGAGATAGAATCTCCAGGAAGCCAGACCTCCGCGGTTGGCATCTCTTCCTACGGTGCATGTTTTTTTTTAAGATAAGAGTGCCATACAGCAGGTCCAAACTGTGATTTATATCACATAAAACAATGTTTTCCACCCTATCACTTCAGCCCAGATGGCATTTAGTTTTTTCGCGGATTGATTTCATTCTTTTGGGTATTAGCTCTAGGTTAGGGAAGTTAGGCGCACAACACTGCGGCAGGGGACATGCAACGTTTCCTTATGGACTTATTAGCCCCCTCGATCTTGGGCACAGTAATATAAACTATTTTGATGTACAGACTTTCAAAAATGCCTTGGTTTCTATTTAAAATGAAACTTTTTGATTCTTCCCACAATATGTGAGACTGAGGACTGATGGATGTTTTTAAGGTTCTCATGCATGCTGAAAAAGTGCCAGACCTGGCACCATAATTGACGTGGACGCAGTCTGCAAATCTTAGAACGCTGAGTGGTCGGTCACCTCTAGGGGTTCTCAGTTCTGAAGTTTTCTGTCAGTATCCCCTAGTAGCTTTGTTCTGTTGTGCAAAGGAAGCTCCTAGCAGCAACAGGCTATTTACATACAGTATTTAAGATTACAGAGCTAGATACTGTCCACATTTCATATCTCTGTGCACTTGTGCACAGACCTGCTGATTACTGTTTCCAAGATCACCGAACCCAGCAGCGCATGAGATATTACATTGTTTCTTTGCCCCCTCAAAGCATGTTCTATCTCATTGCGTCGCCGATGCTCTTCTTGCTTTGCTGCGATCATGGGAGGTGGGACTAACGCCTGTGCTTTGCTCACAGCAAGCAGATGAAAACCTGGACTTCGAGGAGCAGATCCTGGAAGCGGCCAAATCCATCGCCGCCGCGACCAGCGCCCTGGTGAAATCTGCGTCGGCAGCACAGAGGGAGCTGGTGGCACAGGGCAAAGTGAGTGCAGTGGGGCCGAGTCTGGCTGGGCGCGCCTGGCGCTCAGGGTGGAGGGGCAGAGCCCTGGTCAGGAGCCAGGGACCTGTCACCTCCAGCCGATTTAGAGTCGTCGAGGTCAAGTGTGATCGAAGACTACGGAGCTGAAGCAGCCAGAAACCGCGTCCTGCATCTTAAAGCAGTTGATTTGCTTCTGTTTCTCAAGTGGCATTTGCTGAAGCAAAAGAGAGGTTCAGTAAACTCAGAAGAGCTGGAGATTTCCAATAAGTTTAGGTCAGCAGTTATTATACCATATTATAACATTAAATCAGTCTTCGATTTTATTTCTCGGCTCGTAATGCTCTCCAGTAACCATGTGTTATACAGTACGCCGTATTGAAGCTTTCTCAATAAAGAAAGGGTTTGGAAGCCTAGGGTTCTTGTCAGTTGATCCTTATAACTACATTATAGCTGTTCTGCATGAAGGAATATGCTTTGCTCTAACACAATCCTCACATGATTTCTGCTGTCTGCCCAGGTTGGATCCATTCCTGCCAATGCTGTAGACGATGGTCAGTGGTCCCAGGGGCTAATCTCTGCAGTGAGTACTCTCTTGTTCATGTGCAGGGGCTTCTCGGGAGAGCTTTAGGAAAATTCCCATGTACTAGAGAGACTAGAAGAAAAGCATTCAGTTAGGAAGAAATGTAGTGAAAATGGGAAGTTAACTTCAAACCACCAGGTAAACACTCATTAATTGTCCCATGTTCAATTGTGGGATTTGTGGACGCAGCTGAGTTTTTCCTTCATGTAACAGCCTTGGATTTCACTGCTTCCTAGGCTCGGATGGTGGCGGCTGCTACCAGCAACCTGTGTGAGGCTGCCAACGCCTCCGTCCAGGGCCACGCCAGTGAGGAGAAGCTGATCTCTTCTGCCAAGCAGGTGGCTGCCTCTACAGCTCAGCTGCTGGTGGCCTGCAAAGTGAAGGCGGACCAGGACTCGGAGGCTATGAGGAGGCTACAGGTAGCCATTTGAACACGCACAGAGGCTCACTTCAGGCATCATTTACAACTTTGCATTCTCGTTTAGCATCCTCCCCTACACACTTATTTTAAGAAAACGCTGATGCAATTGGAACTTGAGTTCCATGTGTAAGTATGGGTACGGTTTGTCTGATATTACTGCCTCATCAGTTTCAGTACTGCTCTAAAACGTTCTTGATTTAATTATTTGTATTCATCTATGTAAACGAAAAATCTAGGCACATTTTCACGTGGTTGAAACGCCGTTTTATGACATCTGGTTCTGTAACCAAAGGCTGCTGGGAATGCTGTCAAGAGAGCTTCGGATAACCTGGTCCGAGCAGCTCAGAAAGCAGCGTTTGACAAGGCCGACGACGACGCTGTTGTGGTTGAAACCAAATTCGTCGGTGGAATTGCCCAGGTATGTCATCTTCACAAATGTGTGAGGAGTGCTGGTGAGCAGTGTTTGTTTCTCTTAGTAGTAATCATATTTTCACATATGCTGAGTATGTGTTCATGGCAATTAAATTCCCCAGTCAGGGTAAGAATCAAATTGTTTGTGGTCAAAAGTGCATGTGGTACCACAGTACAAAAACTGTAAGTATCATGGGGGAAATTCAGTTGTGCCTTTGCACATTGTCATTTTGGATGTGCTTTAAAATTGATTCAGCATATTAGACATAAAAAGGTGCTCTACAATATAATTTTTTTAAAGAGTATGTTAATGTTTCTTCTCTTTTAAAAACCAGATGATGTCTTAAATGTCTTATTATTTATTCTATCTTCACCCACATCCAGCATTGCAACAGCTGAATGCTGTTAAATGTCAGCATACTTACTAGCCTCAGCTGCCCTTTAAAAGTTTGGCCAGTACTTCCAAGCCCTAGTTTCTCTGTTCTTTGTTGTGCTTGCTGTCACTTGAGAATGAAAATTCCTGTTGGAGAACCCCCACAGTTACCATAAACCACTTATGTCTTGGATAGAACAGGGCTCGTATCCATCTCCGAATTGCCCATTTTAAAGTGGACGAGTACTAATCCTACACTTTCATCCAAATCCACAAGTGTGCTTCCTTGTTTTGTGAATAAATAAGTTTCAAGTTCAGACAGTGTAAGATCATTCACATGTCACAGAAGAGTTTTCATCTCTTACTGAAATTACTGTCTTACTGTCCTTGAAAGAAGTTTATTGGCTTTTGAGCCTTAAGAAGTAGTTAAAAGTACCCTTTAATTTGCTTTTATGTTGTCTGTATTTTACTTGTTATATCTATGTGAATGTTTTTCATATTAGCCCTGGGCATGTAATGTAGTAAAATGCATTGGTATATACTGTAGCAGAATGTGTATTTGAAATCAAATAAGGTCATGCTCAAACTTGACAATGTTTTAGTAAGGCATTATATAAAATATTGAGTTCACCGCTTGGTCACCCTACCACAAAAAGGATATTGTAGGCACAGTAAGAGTTAAGAGAAAAGCAACATGAATGATTCCTGGTCTTGGAGAATAGTTGTACACCAACAGGTGGAAGTACCTAAATCTCTTTTTGGATATCGAGACCGGGTTCGATCAAAGTTGATAAATTCCTAAGTGTTGTAGATGGGATCAAACCCGGGAACTGCTTCAGACTCCATACCATAACCCCAGCATGAGGTCACAATTTGAAACTAAAAGCCAGTTAATTAGGATACGGAATAGGAAATACTTTGCACAGACCACTGTGGATGTCTGGAATAAATGATTTTGACCAAATTCTGGGCTCCTTCAAGCAGCAGGTGGACCACCTTTAATTTTATCTACCCGCGATGCGTCGTGGGCTGGATGGCTTCCTGCCATGTGCCACCTTGTATGTTCTTGAATCCATTTACTCCTTGGAAAAACCAAATGAGCCGCTGTGTGGTTTGCCTCTTTGTTCATCTTTCATCCGCCGCGGGTGGGAGGCATCTCCAGCCAGGTTTCCGCGAGGGCAGTTCGCGCGCGGGGGGCCCGGTGCCGCCGTGACCTCGGGGCTCAGCCGGTGAGGAGACGTGTCCAGGCTGAGCTCCGGCCGCGGTGCAGGGCCTGTGGTTAACCCCCCCCCCCTCTCTGACAGATCATCGCCGCGCAGGAGGAGATGCTGCGGAAGGAGCGAGAGCTGGAGGAGGCCCGCAAGAAGCTGGCCCAGATCCGGCAGCAGCAGTACAAGTTCCTGCCCACCGAGCTGAGGGGGGATGAGAACTGAGGGCCTCTCTTGCGCGTCTGCTGTTTTGATTTGAAAGGGACACTGCAGCCTACCTGTGACTGGTGAAGCAACCAGCAGCAGCCAATCTGTGTGTGTGTGTGTATGCTGGAGGTACTGCCATTAAAAAAAAAAATGACCACTTCTACTTCTACAACCCAAGAGTTCTAGTGCTTAAGCAAAGCCATCCAGTTCTCTTCCGCTAGCTGGGGCTATGGATGCATCTCATTAGCAGTCGGGTGGATCTGAAAACCTGTCCGTCTGCTAAAGAGGGGATTCTATTGCTGTCGTAGGGGTTTGCATCTGAATTGTTGGGAACTTAAAAATGCTCCTTTACACGACTGAAGGACTAGGTGTATTTTATACATGGTGCAGATGAAAATTCACGTAGTCTTATAATTAAAACAACTCCTTAAGCTTCTAAAATATCCACTCTGGGACCTGCTTTCTCTTCTTCTTTCAGTTTGTTGAATATAGAAACATCGAAGTATTATAAACTATTCTGGGAAAACAATACCTTTTAAAAAAAGCTGTGAAGGACCCAGTCCTTATTTTTTTCATCTTCATTTTAAAATGGAGAATAATAAAATGAGAAATACAGTACACACACGCGCTTTGGTTTTGTATAGCTTTGGAAAGGCTGCAAATGCCTAAATTTATGTAGGAAATGTACTGCAAACAGTTGGGGATTCTTCAGCAATCTGCAGTATTCTGATGATAAATTATCCTGGATGATTCTTAACATCGGGAGTTTTACCTTAATTGATGTAATGTAGTTCTCTTATTGCTGTACACCAAATGACATTTTTGGAAATGCTTTCATGGTGTGTGCCAATGTTTATTTTATATGCTTCTATTAAAAAATAAGGAACATGTGTGTCTCCATGACAGTTACACATTTCAGGGGTACCACATCAAAACATTTAAGGGAACTTTTTATTTCATAAAAATGTTCCAATGATTTACTGAATCAAATACAGTATTTTCATTCAGTGGAGTACTACTAAGCCTCTAGAATTGATCAGCTTTCTTTAAAATCTTTAAGGGGGGGTGGTAGTGAAGACATTTTCTGTTGAAGAACTCTTGTAACCATTTCAAGAATTCCACAGGTTTGGATTGGTCTACAAATGACATTGCGTACAGTTTTGTTTCAGTAAAAAACAGAACTGGTATGCTTACTTTTGATTATGAAGCATACTGTACCAGTTCCAGGTGTGTTGTGGAGTAGGAGTATAGAGAACGGTATCCTGTTCCTATTACAAGTTGCTTCTGCAGTACTTATTGAGCCATATACTGTATATTCTAAAGCTTCTTAAGGTCTCCAACTCTGTTCCTGGAGAGCTACAATCCAGACAGAATTAGGGGTCACCTCTTCTAAAGTAAACTCTAAGAATTTTTTAATCTTGTAGTCTTGAAACTTGTATTTTGCTCAGTTAAGACAGAACTCTTAATTGGGGCCGGAAGGTCTCGCATGATCTCTGAATTTCTTGATTCGACACTACACCTGCTTAATTGATCACAATCCGTCTGTTCCAAGATGTTTTAAGGTGTACCACCTGCTGAATTGGGGCTCTGCAGGACTGAAGTTGGAGGCCCCTGTTCTAGAGTATCTACCTACTATGCCATGCGATACAACTGATGGTCAAATTGCGCCTGGAAGCAGGCTTATGATAGTTTAGAACAAGTAGCTTAATTTCTGCTTCCCATACTCTGCCTTCCATTGTCTTGCATGCGCTACACATTTAAAACATCAGGGAGGCATTATAGACCACTAACATTTAGTCTAGCTAGCTAGATGATAAAGACTATATAGAAAGCAAAAAAATGTACAGTTACTTTTTTTAAAAAATATGTAAACCATAGAATGTCCTTTTTTCTTAAAAAAATAAAAAGATTTTTCTCTTCCAGGGGCAGCAGATGAATTCATTGTATTTCTTGATATTATTCTTGTTGTACTCGTATAGTATTCTTCTAATAAATACTCTGGGTCAGCAAATGAAAAGTCCTCATCTGCCTTTGGTTAGTGAGGTGGCGAAGGCTTCGGGATCTTCAAAGATCCATTTCTCCGAACGGCGTGACAGAAGGTTTTTTTTCGTACTGCCTTGTAAGCATGAGAGCATTTTGAGAAGGCAGCATGTTTTGAGAATTTTGGGAGGTTCATTTTAGTTGTCATCGGGCGTGCGGGGGAAAAGAAGGATATTAAGCAATTTAAAACTGATCTGGGTTTTACAGTGTTAGTCTAGTATGCTTTTCCTGTTACTATGGAAATCAATTGGTGCTCTGAGTGTGAATCTGTTACCCTTTGATAATGGGCAATATTTTTATTCCGTCTCCTGTTTAATGAAAGTTTTTTTTTTTGTTTGGTTAGGTTCCAGTCTTGTTCAACTGCTAATTGACGGTAAAATACAGTGACTTAAACTAGGCAGTAGATGTTTGGTGTTTAGAACAATCCTCAAGGCTTAAGCTCTTTTTTAATTTAAAGAGGGTGAAAAATATATTCTACAGCGCCTGGTCCATCTCAATATTGTCTCAAAGTTCTGTTTTATTCATTTCTTTTTAGTAATATGAGCGTTTCTATGTACTTAAGTAGATCTTACATCTGATTCTTTTAGAATCAGGTGTTAGGCCAGAGTTGGGATGGAGCAGTTACTCTGAAAACCTCTCCATAATCTGAAGGAGCTAGTTTTAAGAAACTCTTAGCTGTCAGACTCGCAGTGTGTGAAAAGTTAATTCCACTGCTGTAAGTGCATGGCTTTTTGTCAAACAAATAATATATTCATGTGTTATTCTTTTCAACACTGCAAACACTGTAGGATGCACTGATTTTTTTTTTAAGCACTGCGCACAAAGATTAATTTCTTTTTGCCAAATGTTTCCACTGGTGTTACTGTTGCATAACAGCAGAAGAATCAGTCCATTTCTGGATGGGAATACATTTTGTATGTACTATGGAGTCCCTCAATGCTGCTTAGCTTTTTAACACTGGGTCAATGTGTTTCTGGGGGTCCATTTCTCCCCCCTGTTTCCTTCTGGGCTTTTGTAGCTTATTAGTGCCTTAGTCTATAGTGCTTACAGCCTCATCTGCCAAAACAAAAGTCCTGCCATGCAGCTCTGTAGCCCAGGTAGTACCCTCTCCTGGACTGTTTTGCCTGTAGTTACATTTCTCTCTGCTTTATATGTGTGCATGACCACCCCGTAGAACTCTGCCTTTTTACTCTGGTTGCCTTGCAAGGCAGCTCAGCTTCTTTCATCTGAATAATGTGCTGATGTATAAAAAATATAAAACATTATAAATAAATCTTTGTTATATATGTATAAACAAGACCTCCTTTTTGTACTGCATTCCATGAGCATGTGCTAAGGTGCTTTAGAATTCTTTAGAGATGCACCTTTTCGTCATGATGCGTATTGGCTGTTACAGCTCACCCACATTAAAGGGACTGCCTTTTCTTGTTTTCCTCCTTTAAGTCACTACGGATGATTTTTTTTTAAAAGAGTAAATGTTGTGAGGACAGTAAAATATGAACCTGTGGTCTACACAGTTTAGTGTGTTGTGTTTTACTGGAGATGAAAACAAATCCTACCTATATTTTGACTGTATGTTTTGCTTTTCCTTTACAGAATAAATACATGAACTACAAAAACAGTAGATATGAAGTTGAAGCTGTATGTATACTATTTATCTGGCCACAAAAAAATATTTTTTTGTATTCAACAAAAATAAAGGATTTCAAAGTATTCTCCAGTGGTTGTCTTTATTCTGATTTTTTTTTACATTGTGATGCACATCACATTTTTTATCACTTTATTCATTTGCTGTTTGTTTTTACCACTTGTGATCATGGTACCCTTATTAGCAATGATAATCCACAAATCAAAGATTTAATCCTGCCATGAAGCAATTAATAAATTAGGAATCATTTATTTTCGTGTTTGTGCAAACTGTCCCAAACTCCATCCTTTTGAAAATGACTTCACTACATACTGTTGTTTTAAAGTCAGTGGACATTAAGGCCATTCTGCATTTGTGTTTGTTCTTCAAGAGTTATCCGCAAAGGTGCTGCAGTGTTTGCTCAGCGTCATGCACTAAAGCTTAGTGTTGAAAAGTTGTCCTGTGATAATGGGACTGTAACAAGTGGACGTTTTTGTGACCCAACTCAGATTACAGTTAAGTTGTAGTTTGTGGTCACTGAACTCGTAGTTTAAGCCTTTTGGGTTAAGCCAAGATGGTGCTGATGTGTTTGAAACTGCTGCAGCTTGGGAAATAATCGTCCCTCATTGTTAAAATGTATCAGCCCCTTCCCAGCATTTTTCTCAGTGCCTTTTACAGGTGTACAGTCATTACAAATAATATAGTAATAGTACAAAGGGAATCCGCAAATACTGACATCTTCTAAACAGAGTCCTATTTTGGTTATTCAACCATTAATCTTTTTTAAAAAAAAAACAGCATTTACATTTGTTCCAGCAGGTGTCAGTATAACACTTTACACTATAGCTACAGGCCGGACCTATTGCTGCCACCTTTGTGAATTGTAAATTAAAAACTTTGAATACTGGCCCATTACTTGCCCAATGTCAGCGAATGTCATCACTTCTACTAGCTACTAAACCTTTACTGTTTTTACAGTATGTTGGTGATTTTCCACTGGAATTTAAGGAGGCAGAATTTTCTAATATCTAAGATTCAATCTGAAACTAAGTTGAGATATTAGTTATCGGGGCTTTTCTTTTGTCTGTTTTCATTGTCGGTTTCAAAAGTGTGAACACATTCTGAGAGAGTACAACTACTCATTTTCTAACCCTCAAACTGCTCCCTTGCACAGCTTTCCTTCTGAAAGCAGAGACCGTCCTAAGCTACCCACAGTTCAGATGGTTGCCTGCTATGGTTGTGACCATAAAGGTGGGCAGAAGAAAAAGCAGTCTTTTTTTATAAAGACCATATTTGGTCGTTTTCAGACCTGATGCTGGAAAACCCTCTGGCAGCTCAGCAGGATGTGAAACCAAAGCCATGTGTTCACTGTGGAATGCAGTCTCTTATCAGCAGACAAAAAAGTATGATTGTGTTTTGGCCCTTGAATTGAATTCCGCAACCTGAAATGAGTGGGCTATAAACTGGAGCATCACAACTGAATATTTCTGTAAGTCAGGAAAGAAAGGACAGCATTCTGGTGAAGAACTGCACCTAGCAAGCTACAACCACAGTGCAGCTGTATAAAAGGAGTTCATTTAAATATGATAAACGGTGAAGCAGGATGGCAAGGACTGTGGTCTGCCTGTATACTGTGTTTTCCTGTGATCATTGGTGATGTGATTTGATTCCACCTAAAATACAATTTTATCCAAAGAAATGCTGGCAATTCTTTTTTTGATGAATGCTCACAAAAGGTATTATATTTAAAAGAAGTCTTGTTCTTGTTTGGAAAAGATAGCAAGAAACAGTCGAATCTGCGTTTTGAAATGCAGCCAGCTTTCTGTCTCGCTTTGCCCAAGAATTTTCTTTCTGCAGCCTTTCCCAATCATCCTGCCCTCTGTAATGTATGGAAAACAGCTGCACCTTGACGAGGGGATTTTTGACTTGAGCAATCTCATGCGCGCGCACACACACAAAATTAAATTATTAAAATTGCTCCAGGCCCCATTTTCTGTAAAGCTAATGGGACAATTTGCAGTTTCCGTCAACACACTCCCTGGGCCTCACTTTTCCAAACGTGTTCGATTAATAGCTTGGTATTTCCCAACATTCAGGCAACTGGTATGCTTGCAGCCTGGCAGTGTTTGTTTGTTTTGTTTTTTTACATTTCTTTATTCCATCCTGCTCAAACAGAAAAGAGGACAAAGTTCTCAATTGGCTGAAATGTTGCAAGTCATTTATTTTGCCTTATTCCCTTCCAATGTGACTCAGCATTAATGAGAACATAATTTCAGAAAATTATGAAGTATAGTTTTTCTGCACTCAGGGTATCTCTATTACAGCTGCTTTGCTCATTTCTAAGCATAGTTTAACCATGTAGACTTTTACTACTTTTACCATGTAGATCTGAATTATAAAACATAGGTCTCTCACAAACCGCAAAGGTCTTAAAAAATTATTTAACTTTGTCCAATGAACAAAATAATGAAAAGTGGGGAAATTACCATTCTAGCATTAAGATGAAGGGACTTGGGAAAACACCCATCTCCTCTCACTGTGAGCAGCCTGTATCAAATGCTTGTTTTGATGATTAGCACCAGACCTGTTAAGTGCAATATCCCTGGTATTGCAAATCAGTGGCACAATGGAAAGGGAGAAGAGACTCTTTGAAACAAACATCTGGCTAATGATTCTGCAGTGCTTATAAAATGCCCAAAGTTTTGAGTTTTCTGTAAACAGCTTATAATGTCTCTAAATCATTTTGTCTTCATATTTTCTTAACTGGAAATCTGGAAATCGTCGTCTTATTTTTTCTTTCAATTACTGCCCACTGATCAGGAACCTCCACTCGCCTCTCTTTCACGCTTGAAAATTCAAGGATGGAAATGTGCTCTGGTAGTGAAAGAGGAGGAAAGGCCATTTTGGCCCATTTATACACGCCCTGCACTGCTGGATTTCATTGGCACACATTTGTGCGTGTAACCACAGGAATGAAACTCATTTGGCGCTGTGGCAGAGAGCAAGTCGGAACGAAATAAGTCCTTTTTTATTTTTTTATTTTAGATGAAGTGCGTCTCACACGATTGTTCTTCCTAAAATTGCAATTGCTTTGATGTCATTTTTTTACATTGCAAAGTAGCTTGAGGTGAAAATGGATTGCTGCTACACTAATATGAAGAAAGATATAAGCTATTGGGAGGTACAGTACACAGGTTTTGTTTTTTTAACCATCTCCAGGCCATTTTGGAAAAAATAAGGAATTGTATATGGAAGTGTCCTTTCTGGGGGTTTTTCCATGTCCAGCTCCGTTCATTTTTCTAGAAGTGTGGGCCAGAGCTGGCAGTAACAGCTAGTTCAAGGATTGGTGATGGAAATCATCACGTGAAATGACTGAGAAGGCCATTGGTAAAAATGAACTCTCAGTACTTATGAAGTCTTTTTTCTCCAAAAACCTCATTCCTGATTTTTTTAAGTATTACTGTAGAAAGACTGACCACAGTCCAAAACACAAGAAAGCCTGAGAGTGGAATGGATTCATATAGCATCGGGTTTTTTCTCATTAGTTAAATTGTCAACTATCTTGGCCGGTCGAGAATGTATTTATACTCCAAGAAGCCATTTGAGAAAAAGAAATGTCATGGAGAAAACGCCAAGGCAGCAGGAAAAGAATCTGTCAGGGTCAATATCGACTGTTTCTAATCTCCCACAAAAATACTTGCAGGCTGTCTTGCAATTAACAGTGTTAATAAAAGTAAATTTCCCCTTACAATTATAGGGGGAAGTGGACAGATTACTCATCTAATTAATTTGTGATGGAGTGGGCAATTTACTCATATTTTCTCTATGGGGAAAAAAAGTCTATAATTTAATTAAAATAACTTTTCCCATTTCTACTGACCCAATCAAAACCCCCAAAATAGTGGGTTTTAGGTTACATGCCTTGATCACCAAATCGTGATCCGGCTGCCTAGTTTTAATTTTCTTCCTTTGTGAGTTACAGAGAGAAGAAGATGTTGGGTTTAAAATACTCTCAGAAACAATATAAAAGCAAAAAGCTGTAGTAAATGTGTTCTTGTTGCTGAACAGTGTGACTTTGACATATAAATAAAATGTGATGAGTTGTTACGATGACAGTTTGTACTCTACCTGAGCCAACTTTAGATGAGACTTGTTCCCTTAACATTTCTATTGTCTAAATACTTTTTTTTGTAAAACTATACTACACCGACCTGTTCCATTTTGAGCCCCCACCATACTCCTTTGCAGTCACAAAAGAAACAGTTAGACCCTTGTGTTTATGAAGAAACCAAGATTTTAAATACGGATGTCTGGTTTGAGCCATTTGAGTAGGGAAGATGTCAATACAGTTTAATGCCATTCTGTTTGCACATTTACAGACTGATAACCTAGGAAAGTTTTGTAATTGCAGATCTGAGTCTGAATGTGTCACAGTCATACCTTGAGCTATCACTTACCTAAAACTCCAATACACTAGCTTCAAAAAACCAAAAGCTAAAGTCTAAAGATTTTGCCCCATCACTGTTTTACTATTATCTGTACAGTAGTTCTGAGTTCCTGTAACTACAACTCATTTTAAAAGCATGGCATTTGCAGTTGAAGTGCATATACTATAGTCAAGGCTGTCAACATTGATCCAAAAGTGGTCCATTCAATATTTTAAGACAGAACGATAGTGGCATTATGAAATTATTTTAGGATAAGGAAACAATGGAGGTAAAAAGAAAGTTTATTAAATCTTCATCATTCAGTACGTGCTCTGGCACACAGTTTCTTCATGGTCGTGCCTTTCGTGATGTTTTGACAGCTGCATTAATGTCTTTTTTTTTTTACTTTGCCTTAAAAGGGGTGCTGTACTCTTCCGCTGAGCAGTTTCACAAGAGACAGTCATGCCATCCTTACACAGGCGGAGAGCCTGCTTTCTAGCACATTATGTTAATTGTTCTCTGAACCTAGGAGGGCAGCAGCAGTTGTAAATTCCTCATGGGTAGTGAGCATAGTGGCTAAATAAGGATTACCTTAGTGCGAAAACCAATTCATTGTGACATCACTAAGAATCATGCTGCTAGCTGCAAAATGTCCCTACCAAGGAA